TGTACTTGTATCAATTTATTACTAACTTGTTGCAGTCGTTTATCTACATTTTGCTTTTCCCGACTTAATATTGCTAATTGTTCCTAAAATATGTAATAAAATAATGCATTTTTTCTTCAAGAGATAAAAGTTAAAAAAGGCTTACCTTAACTTTGGCATTTTCTTCTGATACTTGACTTAACTTTTCTCTGAGTTCTGTAGTTTGTAACACAGAATGTTGTTCTAATCGTGCTAATCTATCCTCGAAATATTGTCTTTGAGTTTCTAATTGCGATGTTAAAAGATACGTGAATTCCAACTGTACAGAATCTACTTTTTCTTCCATTGCAGCACCTTCAGCTTTAGTTGCTGTAGGACCACCTTCAACCATTTTTCCATCTTTATTTTGTAATAATCGATGAACGAAATTATCTCCTACATAATCCCAAACTCTATTATTTCCTAATTGCATAGCATAACAATGATGTGTCTCACGATAATGTTGAAAAGCATGTCCTTGATGATATCGTGAACAACCTATATGTCCACATATAAGACAGATCCATAGAGCATCATTACTTTCTCCAGTATCTAAAAAAATATTTATATAATTTATAATTTTTTAATTTCATTCTTTTTCTTTTTTTTTAACTAAAAAATATTTATTGTTTACATACTGCATTCCATACAGTAACTATCTGCAAATGATTCTGGTGTTTGAGCATATCTACAAACTGGACAAGAAGTATCTCCCCATTTAGCTAGGCAACTTGCATGAAATGTATGATTACATAAAATTGTCAAAATACCATCAACACTTTCATCCATTCTCTCTAAACAAACTGGACAAAGTGGTAATTCAGTATGTCCAGATAAAGGCATAGCATTATATGTTACTTCTACACTGTACACAAACACCATGTGACAGATGACATCTGGTTCAAAAGAATTATATGGAGTACCATTAAAAGAACCATAAAATTCTGTTGCTGCATTCTAAAATATGAAAAATTTGATGTATATAATATTGTATATAATTAATATATAAAAAATATTTAATTCATTATATGTAATTACAGCAGATTTAAAGGTAATCAATGCCATATATTGATTAGGACTGCCATCTCTAAGTATCCTAAAATGTCGAACATCTTGATGGCAAGGAGCTGTAAATCTTAAAAGATCATGACATGTCATTGTAGCTGGAACTGAGAGAATGCAGATAGTTTGGGTACGTTCTGCTGCATGGTGTATATCTGTTAATTTGCTGAAAATATAATTAAATATTGTTACAAACATATTTAATTGCAATCTATTATTTGAATAACTACAAAGTGCATAAGTAATACTTATAAAATAGTGCTTACTTTTCTTTATATAAATGTATAATTCCTTTGGTTACTTCAACAAATGGATTTCCAGAGATAAAATTAATTTGATCACAGGCACAAGCACTTGCACCAGCTATCTCTGAATCATCATAAGTGTTTTCTTCAGAATTAGCTCTAGAAGTAGAGCTAGATTTGCTAGTTCCTTGAGAAGGAAGTACTGAATCTTGTTTCTCTGTAAGGTTTGTGCAATTTTCCATGTTTATTTTGGTTGGTTCTCTGCGACCCCTCATCTTAGCAGCCATTATGCCTGGATTACGAAATCCACTGTGAATTAATCATGATACAAACAAGGTATGATCTTCTTTGTACTTTTAATGATTATTTTTTTTAGTAATCTTCATATATTAATTCATTATATTTGAAATTATTTTTTGAATTTTAAATAAAAGTTTACAAAAATTTTAAATATTTACTATATTTATTATATTTATAATACTTTTATGAAAAAGAAAATATATAAAATATACAAAAAAATTATATAAATTTAAAAATGATATTATGCAAGTCTTATTTAATTATATATAATTAAAAAGATAAAAAATGTTCTTTTTAAAAAATTTTATTTATTTGTATGTATTTTCTTACGAACAAGAATCTTAGTTTCAAAATTATATAAATTTTACAGAAAAGTTAATAATATAAACATAACATTGTTATGACAAATAACATAACCTTAAAAAGATTTGTAAACAAAAAGATTAATCGAAGTAATTCATTATAAAAACAAGTAGAATATAAGTTAACAATAACAGTTGAAAGTTACTAGTTTAATATACAAATATGTAAATATTTACCATTCGATTCTTCAGAATCTTCATCAACAACCTCGACGCGAATAACGCAGAGAGATACCGAAATAGGAAAAGAACTCATTCCATAAAATAATACCTATCGTGCATTATTACAAACAAATTTATCATTGTGTTCACTGCTTTTAAGTACGTGTTAACCCTTTAAACAACCCCCATAATTAACTGACAACGATCTTACAAGTGTCACACAGTCACACTGTTTCTGATTAATAGATTAAATATACCATTCATTCATTTTTTATTTAATTGTCACAAAATTATTATAGATTGATTATATTATTTCTGCAACTTATGAATATAACGAAAAATTAAAAAAATCACAATTTATTATGTATTTTTTCCTTCTTTGCTTATCATTCACCAATCAGATACGATACAAACTAATCTTTTAAATGGTAACTTCCACCTTGAAAAAGTATGAATTACGCCACCTGATGTTTATTATTATTACTAAATAAAATTAACTTTTTTTTATTATGTATTATGAATGTTAAAATCAATAACTAATTATTCATTATCATTTATTTCATAAAAAAAAAATATAATGCAACATTATTTAAGAAGCGCCAAAAATTTTATTAAAATATTATCAAATTTTCTAAATAAATTTTATAATCAATATTAATAACATTATGTTATTAACATACGTATTAAATATATAAGATAATGCGAAATGACATTGTTTTTTTTTAAAGCTTTAAAATTTTTTGGCATATATTTAAAAAACAAATTTTGAATAAAATTATTAATGTCAAAATTATTAGTTAATATATAATGTCAAAAATATTAAACTAATATTTTGAATAAAAAAATATTGTTGTTTTAGTGCAAATTTTGTATACAATTCTGTAGAAAATATAAAATATTAGACCATGAATTCAAAGAAGCATTATACTTATATTTTCGTTTTTGAATTCTGAAATATTGTATAAATAGTAAAAACTTAGGTAGATAACTTTGAAAGCTTCTTTAAGTCGCTATGTAATTTTTAAAAAAAGAAAAAAAACAAATCTATAATAATGTTTAGAAAAATAAAAATTTATTTTTATTATTACTTTCTTATTTAATCTTTTACAAATATCTAAAAAAATAATATATATCATTTATTTGATCCCATGTTTAATTTTGTATAAATAAAATTGAATATGATATTATTTATTGAATATTTTATAAAAAAAAATTGCGACTTAAACTGTTTTCAAAAGTTACCCCATAAGTGTAAATTGAGTTTTTTTCAATTTTACATATTTTTCTTTTCATTTCTTTTATTCTTTTTCTTGTTTTTACTTATTTTATTTTCGCAGTTACAACCTAAAATTGTATAGGCATCAAAAAGAAAATATAAACATATCAAATCATTCATTGTTTACCGAAATTATTTTAAAAATATTGTATATATAAATGAAAATTTTTAAGATGAAAGAATGAAGCATAAATTAACTTGTAGTTCATAAAACATTTTTTTTTTGTCTACAAATATAGATATTATATTTTCGTATTTAAATAATGAAGCATTGTGTGTACCGGTGTATATATATTTAATTAATATAACAGCGATATGTTGTTATTGAACAAAATCTTGAAAACAATAAGTTTATAAAAAATATTCTGTAAATTTTTAACATTATCATATCTGTACTCTTTCGAACTAATAATAAAATAAAAATGATCTAATCGAAATTATGAAAATTATGAATTTTCAATTTTTAATATTATGAAATCTCAATCATTAGTATATATTTCGAATTATTTAAATTTTTTCTATATTCTTATTCTAACAACATGCAGAACTTAATTGAACTATAGCAAAATGAATATTTCTTATCATTTCTATTATTTCAGATAAGCTTTAACGATTCAATTATTCAAAGGAGTACAGATTATACTAAGAAAGTGATTTTAACAATTTTAGTTGAACAATTTTCAATGAAAGTAATTAAATTCACTTTCTGTGATGATTGAATAACGCTAAAAAGTTGAATATGAAACGAGCGCTTTTTATATTCTTTAACTGCGCGTATTATTTTCTAAAATTTTTTTTTCTTTTTTTTTTTTTTTTTTTGTAAATCTATGATAAAATCGAATCGATTCTAGAAAAATAAATATTTCTATAATACGAATCGAGAAAAATATGCTTCGATGATATAGGAGGGATGATATCGGAAATTCGCTTGCTTTTCTCTCACTCATGTGAATCGTACGTCAGTGCACGAAAGAATAACAACTTGTCTATCTAATGTACGACATAGTCGCATAATAATCACCATTGCCAACAAGTTATAAAATTTTCTGAAATCCTTTTGCAACAACGTATGCAAAGTATATGTGCATACAAAGTATATGATATAATTTTATGCACATAAAAATCGTTCAAGAAAATAAAGCCCTTCTAAAATGTTACGTGTCGTTTCTATTTTTATTTTTATTTGCATCCTTAAAAAAATATTTACAGTGCGCTTTAAATCGAATGTGCGTCAAATACATGTGTGCAAAAAAATAATAAGAAATTAAAGAAATAGAAATTCTTTTTCGTTTTTTTCGACACAATCATATTTAGAAGAAAATTATTTTCAATTTGTATTGTGCATAAAAATATATTCATCGATACATTTTAAATATATATGTGTATGCGCAAATATATATATGTTTTCCTTTAGATTAACAATTTGCGCTAAACAGCATATTTTTGCTACAAATCCAATAACTATAATGGACGGTTGCGAACAAACTCAATGGAACAATTCGAGGAACACCGATTCGTGTTCTTGTTGCTTTTCTCACTATTTTGTTCCAATAATAGAGATATTTTTATAACTCATTCTTTTTTTTTTTTTTTTCAAAACGCGACCGCTTATAATTTTTTCGTGAATTGCATCTCAGATGAGATATCCTAAAATTCTGAATGTAAACATCAAACATTGCAATCAAGCTCTGACGAACGATGGAGGGGAATGATATTTAATGATTCAAAGCGGTTTATCGCGTTTAATTTGAAAAATGCATTACCAAAATACGCTAGTATTGTTAATTGATAGCTAAATAAATTAAAAGAAATATAGATGCTAAATGTAACAATCGACAACATGAATTTATTGATAGATAAGATTATTCGCGTAAAAAATGCAAGAATTAAATGCATTTCTCTTGTACGCAACGATTTTCTGTATTTCTAATAGCGAATTCTACATTTTTTTTTGGATAATACCGATATTGTTTAAAAAGTAATTGAAATATTTCTACAAGTAAACTTTTTCTTTTACAAGTTTTAAACGAGGAATTCGATTATTTCGATAGATTCAATACTCTTTATAACTTTATTATAATTCCGTCATTCGTCATAAACAGTAACTTTCAGTAACTTTTTTATACGTTTTAAAAAAATGTTAATTAATAAGAGTTCTAGAATTATAAGATTGTCGATGATTGCTATCACGCGCATTTGAAATCATTATCGCATTGCTTGAAATTTATCACAATGTTAAAATATACAATATAAGATTTTTCGTATGAATAAACGCATTTTAAAATAAATGCTACTATTTTTCATATCGGATTTCGATTTTATATGTTCGCTTTAAGCGAAAAAAAAATATCTTGTGCGGTTTTGCGGTTAACATTTAATTTTTCATATGAGTTTACGAACATTTTGCTATATTAACTGATATAGCTTTTTCTTGCTAATCTTTTATACAATCAATGAACAAGCATTCTCGAACTTTCGATTATAAATTATTTATAAGGCTCCTCGTTAGAGCCTCTTCGTTATCGATCAACTTATACGTAGAAATGACTTCATATATTTGATTTCATACGTTTCATATTTATAATTTGATATATTTCTATTTTATTCAAAGTATTTGTATTGTATTTTTATGGTGGTGCAGCTCATTGAAAGCGCTTCGCTGTGAAAGACTGTTTTAGAAGAACTTGCACGATCGAACATCATTTCGGTAAAACTTAATAATTTGTTTCGTTATCGAAAATTTTTTAACTTATTCTCAACATTACTCTCGACGTTTTTCTTTTTATTACGTAAGATCATCATGAATGAAATATCAATATAATGAAATATCAATCATAATGAAATATCAGCTAATAAACTAGAATGTATATGTGCTAATACGCTAGCACATATATATCAGACATTAGTAATAATCATAAATAATAATAATATCGCTTAGTAAATTGACGTCGAGATTATTCGGGCAAAGTCGAAAACGAAACAACGTTCTGCAAGTGCTACGTCGTTGTTGAAGGATTTTCTGGCGAAATTGGCAAAGGAGGTGTTTGTCTAGTAGAGGCTCGCCTTGGCCAACGTTGCGGAGAAACCGGTGGCGTTGGCCTCGGAGTATTCGGCGCAGATCCAGCCGCCAATCTCCAATTACTAGTGGACATGCCTGATCTACCTACCGATGTTAGACTTGTGCTACTACTACTGCAAGCCACTGCAGCGGATAAATCGACTCTCGATATCGCTCTGAAAATATAATATGAATTGAAAACATCATTTATAATATCTTATGTTTAAAAAATAAAAATAAAAAATATCTGTAAAATAATTAGAGAATTATAGAATTTCGTTAACATTCATGAATTCACAATACTTTATTTGTAAATATTTTTATTTTGATTATCTGAAAATATTAATATACTATACTATTATAATATACTATAATAATATTAAATAATGAGCATAATAAATAAATTTACCTGGAAGGAGGCGCAGATCCGCCAGTATAATAATGCAAACCAGCAGGACCACTTCTTGGTCTTGATGAGAGAACACTAGCTGATCTATGCATAGCAGGTGAAGGTGGTGCAGATGGTAGCATTCTTGGCGTTTGCGGCGGAGTTCTTCCAGTGTTCAAACTGCTGGTACTACCCGTGGATGGTTTTCTTCTTGGACTCCTACAAAAAGATTAAAGATAATAATTTATTAATTTCTTTAATGTATGTGTTTTTTTTAAATGAATTATGAAAATTTGCGTTATCTGTTTATAAATTTATAATTTATAATTTATATCATTGAGATGATACAAAAACTTAATAAACACACAAACCTTTTGGAAGGTTGCCTACATAATCCAGTTGGACAAGGACGGCCCATGGCACATTTTCCCTCACACACTTCTCGTGCCAATGCCATGGTTTCGTAATTTCTTAAAGTAGTGCGACATACTTCTGCATCGGATTCCGCAAGCGCTAAGCTAGGGAATCGTTCCTTCAACCTACGTCGTTCCTATATTAATCGAAAAAATGTCTAAATTAAATTAATTAATTAATTTTTTTAATTATTAATTTTAATTATTAATATTAAGTAATTATTAATTATTTATTTCTTTTTTTTAATTTATTTATTTTCTTTTTTTATTATTAAATAAATATCAAAGAACTATTTTATAATGTAATATCTTCATTCATAGAATTCTTCGTCAATTTTCTTTCTACTTAGAAAATCATTTATATTTTATTTCATTATATTATATATCATTTATATTGAAGAAAAAAAAACAACATAAGTACATAAGTAAAGGAAAGATTTCTAAAGTAAAGGAAACGAAGGATTCTTTTTAATTTGAATACCTCATGTAATCGACTGGATTCGAAATCTTTCAGCTGTTGCTGAAAACCGACGTTTGGATTGGCAATGGAACGACCTACTCTGACAACTTTAAGTGCCTCTTTCCATGAAAGATTGGTAGTACTCATAATATAGGCCACTGCTACTGTGACACTTCTTGACATACCGGCTAAGCTGAAATCGAATATAATAATCATTCGATATATAATTTGATATATATAAATATTTTTATAATAATTTGTTAAGTATCATTAAAAAAAATTTATTGCTTATTTTTATATTTCTTCTTTTTTCCTTTTTAAAATTTAACAGTATTTAATATTAAAGTTTAATTACGTACCAATGTATTAGAACATTTCCACCACGTAGGCGGGCAGCGTGGATAAAATCGTTACACAAGGAGAAATATTGAGATAGATTCTGATCGGGACTATCTGCCGCCAATATGCATAAATAATGTTTGTCCTACAAATAATTTATCGAACTAACTTCGATTAAATTCATCAAAGTTCATTGAGTTAAACAATTTATTCTCATATACAATTATACTCACAGAATGTAATCGGCGAGCCGTGTCATGAATCGCCAAAATATGTGTTATTTCGAATCGTTCCAATTGGTCTGCGTCTTTACTATCATGATAATTCCCAATATAAAGACCGGGAAGAACCTATAGATACGAACATACACACGACATACACAAATTTCGTGGAACTCAATATCATAATATAAGCATAATTCTCTTTCTAGTTATGTGATAATTGTTTAAATCTCGATATGAATTGTTCATTATTAGAATCATTAAATTCAATAAATGTCATTCTAAATTTATGCGAATATAAGTATCTAATATAAGTTTATTTTCCATTCAACATCGAATTAATGTTTTTCCTATTGGAATTAACATAGAGAGAGAGAGAGAGAGAGAGAGAGAGAGAGAGAGAGAGAGAGAGAGAGAGAGAAGCGATACTCAAAATACATGAACGAGATATCGTTAAGAAAAAAGTCGATAGAGCAGCTTTTCGATGCAAGTGCTCTATTGTTAATCATTCATCTTTGTAGATGATCACTCGAATGTGTATAGCCAGGTGAGAATCGCGATAATCGTTTAATCGATTCTGCATTCTTAAGTGAGGTGTTGAACGCGAGAACAAAGATACAGGCTCTTAACTTTTCATCGGGACCATCGATTGAAATCTTGGCATACATTGTCGAGTGATATTATGTATTATACGATGCCTTTTGACAATAGATATTATAGATTGTCAATTCTGAATAAATTTCAAAAACTATAAATGAGGCTAATTAAAATAATTCACTAATATGATATTTTTTATATTTTTATTCTTTTTTCATTTTAATAAAACTACTATTCAAAATATAAAATAAATGTTTATTGAATTTTCAGAATTTAAGATAGATAAATTTAGAGAAGCAATCATGTAACAGTTTTATAATATACACATACAATATATAACATAAATCAACAAAATAAAATATAAAAGTGCATCATTGATATTTCTCGATAGAGGTTAAGTCATATAATAAGCAAATATCTTCGAAGAATTAACATAATTATGATTTGTCAAATTATTCTTGCATATTGCAATATTTTGTTGCTCAATTTTAATTATATTTATTTTAATTTTAATCGTATTAAAAATCATTTCGTTGTTTGTTTTTAATTCAATATATAAATAATGACAATGACAGAAAATTTCATTAAAATGATATTATTAAAATATCTGTGAAATTGCTTCTTACCTTATTCATGCCAAAGCTTCTTACCTTGTTCATGCCATTCCCCATGGTGCAAATTTATGTTATTGCGTACGAAATTCTTTCGAGGCACAGAGAATTCACAATAAGAAAGAAATTATCAGTTTAATCGGTCGATATACTTGGGACGATTCGACGATCTTTTCTTATCTTTCGTCTCTCGAACTCGATCCTCGATGATCTTATTGTTGGACAACAATTTCCTTTGTGGCTGCCGTCGCATGCCTCCTTCAGCATCATCGTTGAAGATAGATTCTCAAAACTGTGTTACGAATTCTGATTGACTTGATTATATCGTTTAATTGAAATCTTCGAAGTTGCCAAAAATGATATTCATAATGCGGTATATTCGCGCCAACATATTTCTTTTTGTAATATTCTTTTTATTAAAACGCAATCAGATTTGTACTAATCTAATTTCTTTGTGTTATTATATTTTTATTATTTCATTCTTTTATTATATTTTAACAAATCATTTTTCTCTTTAATTTTTATTTAGCAATATTCCAATAGGTTATAAAAAATTATATTTTCGAAATTTTTTACATGAATATGATAAAATATTGTTACATAGGCATTATTCTATCCATTATTTTTTATTTATATTTATCTATTATTTATATGAAAAAATATAAGAAAGAAATAAAAAAAAAGAATAATTTGTTTTATAAATTTTGTTGTATTATAAATCTCGTATATCTCGTAACCAAAGATTAAACAGATTGTCACAAAATTTCTTTTTTTAATGTGCATTATAATATATGCCTTTCTGTATACTTCTATTCCACTGAGATTTATCTATGCAAGCATTTACAGTGTATTTATTCCACTAAGTTGTATCAAAAACGATTCAAGCATGCAATTTATAACGATCGTGACTTCGTAGAAATTTTTAATGACAATCGACGGTAAAGTTATATTGCATGTTATATTCACGAAAAATAAATGTTGGAAAATGATATAAATTTATAAGGGAATTGTATCAGAAATACTGAGATTGTTTTTATGCAGGATTAAATGATTATTCATATTATTTATATCATAATTTCAATTCAACAATAAAATAATAAAAATAGTAAGAACAAGAGAAAATTTATTGCGAATGATCAAATTATCAGTAGAGAAACGGTGCAATTTAAAGGAGAGCTTTTGTTTCATTTAGTCAGCCAGATGAAATCTATATTTTCTGTCCGATTTTACTTGACAATTTAAATGTACAATGCATTTGTAGAAAGAAGTTTCTATAGAGAGAATGAAATGCAGCTAACGGGCACAATCGTTATTTTCCCTACGGCGATAAATTAAAAAGTTTTCGCGTCTTTACTTTTGCCATATTAGTTGGAATATTGCCAAATAGAAAATCAAAGATAGATATTGCGTGTGCTGATCTTAGTAGAAGTTAAATTAGAATAATAATTTAAAATAATTTAAATAAAGAGCAAACAAATTAATGAAAAACGAGGAAAAAGATAAAATCATTTTTTCATGATCTAAATGACAAATACAACTAAATACTTCATATATAATAACGTATTATTTCTATTTTGATTTTGATTCTTTTTTGATTCTTTCTTGATAATATATATATATATATATATATAATCAAGAAATATATTATATAAATAACAATAGTTATAAATATCCATATAGAATAAATATGTATATGATTTTATTATATTTGAAATTAATTATGAAGAAAAAAATTATTGTTTTTAATCTTTAATTTTATCATTACGATCAAATTAGAAAACTTTCGTTGATTAAATTTACAAACTAGTAAATGTTTGATTCGATCATATTTCAACATATCATCATTTTAAAAACAAGTAAAAAATTTAAATTTTATTTTTCTTATACTAAAAAATCTTGTTCAAGAATAATTATAGTTTTATATTTTTCGATTCTTTGAGTATGTCTTGAAATTACTATATAAGACCCATAAGAATCGAATCAATTAAAATCGTATTTACTTTAAATAATCGTTCTTTATTCATCTCATAAATTATAGCTTCTATCATTAATTAATATCCTATTTACAGTAATTTGTTATTAAATTAAAGATTCTTATGATCAAATAAAAAGTAAAAGAAAAGCAAAAGAAATAAGAAAGATAAGCATAAAAGATACATTTTAACAAGTATGAAAATTTTACAATAAACGACTGATTGATCATAATTCACTCTACCTGTCGACACTTTCACATAAAGGCACCTTTGATTAACACAGCTGTTTACGCACACACAGAATCATTGAAACAACAATCTAATAAATAAATATATGAATTGTGTACGCACAAGTTCGCTATTCGTATTATTTAATATCCGATTCAATTGGCAAGAAGGTGCGCCATACGAAAACTGTTCTGTTGTCTCAGTTGTGAGAAGCGTTACCAGAATCTAGGGGCACTCGCCACTGAGAGGGAGAACGAAAAAAGGTGGGGATAAAGATGCTATAGAGGGGAAAAGTAAGGTGTGTGCACGGAGTAGTAGAACCCGTTGAATAACGGAAGGTCTATCACGGTAAGAGGACGACAAGATATAAGATATAAGGTATAAAAATATAATAGAAAAAAATCATTTTGGAAATCTGGAATGATCATCTGCTAATTTCTTAGTAAATATTTCATTATTTTGATAAGAACGTTAAGAGATCAATGCTAACTTACAGTGATAAATAACATTAATGTACTTTTATAAATTTAATAAAAATAAAATAGTGCCATATTAATGATTAATGATTAAATACCAAAAAGTGTAATTACATAAGTTTGTTTCTGTAAATGTTTCTGTAAATAATTTGAGCGCTTGATAGATTGCAAAAATTTTACCGTTCAAAGTTACACTTAATAATACGGAATAACTAGATTATAGACAAATATTTATTGGTATACAAATATGTAATAATAATAAGAAAAAAATATAATTAAAAAAGAGAAAAAAGAGACTTATATTCTTAACTGTCGAAAATGACAACTAGCCGATAGGCGGCAGTGTGGAGAATAACTGCAGCGCAGCCGCCGCTCGATAAAGCCATCCTCTTACTCTTCTTTTACGTTCTCCTTCTAATATTCTCCTTCTCTATATAATACATCTATAAACCACGACCCTATTCCACAAACTAAAATCTGATCAACTGAAACTTTATGAATAGCTCAGTATAATATTAATTAGGGTACAGAAACATAAGGATCTATATAAGTACTAATAATCCTGAACTAGTAGAATTCTTCGTTACTAACCTATGTTAACCTATGTTACATGAAAACACATATTTATATATATATTTATTGTTGAAATAAATAAGTCGTAATAATAATAATGAATATTCATTATTCAATTAATTAATGAAAATTAAATTTGCTAAAGATAACATACCTATTTTAAATTTAATATTTTTATACTTATATTATTTTTATACTTATATTATTTTATAAGCAACATGAATTTTATGAAATTTTTCTTAAATTTAAAAAATATTAAAATTAATTTTAAAATTATTTAAAGTTCTCATATTGAAAAAAAATATTATTGTAAATTTAAAAAAATTAAATCAAAAGGATATTTTTGTAGCCTACATTTAGTAGGAAATAGGGCGGAAGAATCTTTTATTTTTTTCCTCGCATTTCTTATCCAATGCTATTACAAGCACGGAGATCCACTCTGGTGGCTAAATAAGTACACTTCAAGTTTTTTTTACTGTTTTTTGTCATTCTTTTTTTATTTTTCATTTCTTTTTTCTAAATAAAAATAAAGTCCTAAAAAGAAAAAGAAAAATAAATCCGTAATTATTGTTTAATGAAATCTAATAAAATAAATAAAAATAATTTGTTATTTCAATTTTGAATATTTTCATATGCGATCAAATTTTTTACAAAACATTTCAATATTATTTAAATTAAATAGTAATTAAAAATAAAAAATCAATTCATAAAATTATATAACTATTAGATACTTTTTAGAAATTTTTTTTTTTAGTTTTAAATTCGTTTTAAAAATATATTAATAACATACACAGTCTGATAAAATAATTAATTAATACAAAATAAAAAATCTTTTATGAATCTTCTTATTTTCTTAAAACGATTTATAATTGTTTATTTATTTATAGTATATATTAAAATAAAAATATAATATGATAATGTAATATTATTTTATTATGATATAATAATTATTTTCTCAAAATTATTCATTTTTCGATTTTAATGATGGTACAGAATCATTTATAACTGGAGTATAATTAACAAAAAATAAACCCAGAATAATGAGAGATATACCACACCACCAATTTAACGATATGTGTTCATTAAAAATTAAGAAACCCGCAAAGGCCTATAAAAAAAAATAAAAAATCTAAATATTATATAATGCATTTGTTTTTCTTGTTTTTATATTGTATATATGTATTGATAAAAAAGTATATACCGAACAAACGTAACTAGTGGTGGCGCTGGTTATTGTACACGATAGAGAAGATTTGCTGATATTGAGTGCTTTTACGAAAAAGGTGCATCCCATAGTGTTGCTTGTTATCATCAATAGTAAAAGTATTCCTTTAAGTAGCAATTCAAACTAATTAAGAAATAAATAATTAATTTTATACAAAAATATTAAAAATATTACAATTGATATAAAAAAATATTGTAAATTTTATTATACACTTCTTGTATATAAAAATTGTTAAAAAAGATGTAATATTACTTACTATGGAATTTATTTCTATATTGCTAGAAAGTTTACCCAATATACTTCCAGTAGTTGCAAAAAATCCACTTATAAGAGCTAAATAAATTTTTTCTTGCTTTTTTTCTTTAATACAGAAAAGAGATTGACTTTCTCTTGATGACAATGAAAAAGCATTCGTTAAAAATTTACGTTTCATTATAAACATTGTTACAGATAAAGTGAAATAATTATCTATAAAAATATATATGAATTTTATTTTTAGTTTTAAATCACTTTCAATACACCGATATGAAATTAATACTAGTATTACAAACAAAGTATATTTAAGTACATATAATATTCTATGCTTTGTATGCAATAACTGAGTAATTAATGATCTAGTTTATGGCGGGAATATTCAAATAATTATTAAAAAATAAATTAATATATTTTTCTTCATTAGTTAAATATCTTAAATCTTAACAGTTTATAAGCCCAAAAATACATTTTAATTTTCTATTTTATTTATAATATTAAATAATAAAAAAATTATAAAGTTAATGAATATAATTATATATATTTTAAAAAGAAAATATCTTTTATAATTTATAATTTTTGTTTCTATTAAATAAATATATTATTTATATTCAAAATAAGAAAGAGTGGAAAGATATTAATTAAATTTAAAATCAAATATAAAAGAATTTTTTTTATATTTTTCAAATAATACATTTATATATAATAAAACAGATAAAAATTGAGATAAATTTGGGTTTCAAGATCTACTTATTTAATACTAACATATTTGCATTTAAAAAAAAATTAAGATAATGATATTATAAATTAACAATTAATAATAATATTTAAATTTTCAATAAGATGCTGTTTATTTATTTCATATTCTTTTAAATATATTTCTTATAAATATTTCTTATAAATATACTGACCATTACAAAATAAAATTTATATATAACATATGTACATAATAATTAATAAAATATAATTTTAAAAAAAATAAGTTAGCGCGCAGTGAAGGGAAGGCGCGAATGATTTTCTACAGGTAGTTTAAAAATGGCGACTGACAGGTACGCGTTTTCTCGCGTGTACGGTGCCGCGACAAGATCAGACGCGACGTGATTTTCATTAAATTAAAAGCAAGAGATTCATTCAACATCTTTAGTTCAATTTTATTTAGTGGAATCATTGAATTGAAGAAACCTTACAAATTATGTTGCGTTTTCATCAATCAACACGGTGACTTTCTCTCTCGGTTACATTGTATTCGTGAGATTCAGCTGCACTTAGTCTTGGCACGATTAAGATTTTTTGCCTTCATCTCGTCTGTTTTTTGAACTAACAAAAAAAACGAACGAATGAACGAACGAACGAGCAAACTTCCGCATTCCACTGCATTGCGAACGAATAAGTGAACAAACGATCACTTGCCAATGTGAGTAGATATCGCGATTTGACATCCCCCCCCCCTCCTTAGTCCTAGAACAGATTTCTTTCACTTGCATTAACTTTCAAGTTACAATCGCGAAATGGCAAACATATCCGTATTTTCGCTTATAATTCACTTTTATCATTATTTTATTCATCATTAATATTATTCTATCGCTCTCTTTGTCTCTTATGTTCGCTTATTTTGCTTATTTCATCTTTTATATAAGAACTATATTTTTTTGTCTATATGTCAAAATAAAAAAAATAAAATAAAGAATGGAAAAATATTGTCAGACAATACAATATATTTGGAGATATTATATTTTTTTCCTAAATTTAAAATCTTTTAATTAAATAGCTCAAAATAGTAGTATAAATAGATTATATTATATATAGAATAAGAAATAAAAATTCAATTTTATATTTTTTTTTATAATATATTACTATATATAATTTTATAGTTTTTAAATTTATTTTTAAAATTATTTGTCAAAATTATTTTATTTCCTTCATTAAGAAATTAGTTTTATATGAAAATCAATATAATATATAATATGTAAATATATAAATTTACATTTATATAAATTTTTCATTGTATTAATTCTTTAATTAAATATTATTTAAAAAATTATAAAATTTATATAAAAAAGTTTTTCATAAATCAACTCTTTTAAAATATTAACTATAAATATATTTTTTTCATAAATTTAAAAAAATATGTAATGAAAATATATTTAAAAAAAACTTATTACTTGTTATGTGATAACTAAAATGAATATTCTGAAACATTTATGTAAATAATGTATGTTTACTTACTTAAGTACTTGATAAATATGAAAAGTTTTGGATAAAAATATGATATCATTCATGATCAAATACCCAATGAAAAAGCAGCTAATTTCATGCAGGTTTTGAATCTGAAAAAGCAAAACTTGATATTATATCAGAATGATGTCTAATCTTTGTCGCAAAATTTTAAAATATCTTGGAATGTATTCATGGCTTTGTAAGTGTAAAGGTAATCTAGTTAGCATCCAAATCCCTTTTTATCATAATATTCCTATTAAAACTTCTATTTCATTATTTATAATATTATATTATTATATATTTAGATATATTAAATATATTATTTATATTTATTTAGATTTACAATATTAATATTATATATTGTAAATTTAAATAATATATATAAAGTAAAATGTATTTTATTTTTTTTTTTTTGAGTAGGTAAATACAGCTGTAAAAATTACAAACATATAGTCATGGAACATTCTGATTTAGTAGCAGAAATGGTACATATAGAAAGATTAACAACTCAAGAAAGATTGCATTTAGCTCGTCTCAAAAGACTTCAGCAATTAAAAGTATGGCGTCAACGTGAAAAAGAATGGATGCGACATCAAACTAGACATACAAGTAATAAACGTCATATATATTTTAGCGATAGTGTAATGCTTTTAGAAGCTGCAGCAAGAAATGATATTGATGAAGGTAATATGATATAATTTTCATTAGATTGTTTTTTATTGTATTCAATGTAATTTAATATATGAATCAGCATATTAAAAAATAGATATATATTTTAGTGAGACGACTTCTAAAAAAAGGAGTAAATCCAGATTCAACAAATGAAGATGGATTGACAGCTTTACATCAATGTTGTATAGATGATAATGAAGAAATGATGAAATTATTAATTGAATTTGGAGCAAATGTTAATGCAGAAGATAGTGAAAAATGGACACCATTACATGCTGCTGCTACTTGTGGTCACTTACATTTAGTTAAAAATCTCATTGTTAGAGGTGCTAATTTATTAGCTGTTAATGCAGATGGTAATATGCCTTATGATATTTGTGAAGATGAAAAAACATTAGATTGTATAGAAGGTAAGAATATTTATAATATTTTTAATGAAAAATTAAAAATTATTAAAAAATTTAAAATAAAAATATATAAAAAAATATATAAAAATATACAAATAATTTAAATATTTTTATTTATTTATTTATATAATCATAGGTGAAATGGCAAGACGAGGTGTTACTCAAGAATTAATAGATGAAACTAGAGCTTCAATTGAAGTTCAAATGTTAAGAGATTTACAAAATATAACTTCTATAGGTGGTGATTTAGAATATAAGGATCATCAAGGTGCTACACCTGTATGTATACTAAATTATTATGATCATTTATTTCAAAAAATAACCATCAATGATTCTTTTGTTTTTTTGAATTTTAGCTACATATTGCAGCTGCAAATGGTTATTTAAGAGTAGTTGAATTTCTTCTAGATCAACATGTTTCAACTGATGTTGAAGATAATGATAAGTGGCAACCAGTTCATGCAGCTGCTTGCTGGGGTCATGTATGAATTGAATTATATTATATATTTATTAATTATTTAAATTAACATTATTTTCTATAATTATTTTATTTTTTTTTTTAGTTAGAAGTTCTTGAGTTATTAGTACAAAATGGAGCTGATTTAAATGCGAAAAATAAACATGATGAAACTCCAGCTGGTAAAAATATTCATATTTAATAAAATTTAAAAAATTATTTTTTATACAAAAAAATATATATTTTTTAAAATATTAATGAAAAATTAAATTAATAACATCTATAAAATTTTATAGATATTTGCGAAGATTCAGAAATTAAAGAAAGAATAGTAGAACTTAAAACAGAACAAGAAAGTAAACGATTACGTGAAGCACAGGGAAGACGAGTACGCAGATCTCAAAGTATAAATACGCGTACTCAAAGCGTAAGAAGAACTTCAATAAGAGATAAAGTTTTAACTACGAAAAAAGATGCTCAAGAAGAAGCTCGACTTAGATTACAAGCACAACAGGTAGAAAAGAAAAGTAGATTTTTATTTTATTAATTATATAATGTTAGAAACAAATTGAAATTAAATAATAAAGAAATTGTATATTTCAGACATATGGTGGTTCCACTACTAATGTTCCACAATCAGAAAATGAAGCTAATATACGAGAAAATATAAGCAGTGAAACAGATAATAATGCACCACCAACTGCTGTACGCAAAGCACCTGAGGGAAAGGATAATGAATCTTTTCTTCATGAAGACGTCGATAAAGAATCAGGTATATTCCAAAATATGTTAAATTCACATTGGTTATGGTTAAGTAGAATCCTCTGGTAAATAATAATTTTATATATAAAATTGTGCAAAAAAATACGTGTCATGTCCATATAATCTGTGCGTTTGGTCGCATAACTCGACCTTGTTAACGTTGTATAGTAATCATATTTTTATATTTACCATGCGCTTATTATGTTTAAAACAAAATATTTTTTAAAATATTTTTAATTTAGTAAAAAATTTTTAATGATCCAAAAAATTAATTAAAAACTGACAATTAAAAATTAAAATAATCAGTTATTATTATATTAGTATAAAATTTTATTATTATTAATATAATAATTTTTACTATGAATTATTTAAAAAAATATAGTATCAATCATTTATCAGCTTTTTCTTTTTTCTGTTACTACTGCGTCGTGCTCCTGAATAATTGCGAGGTCAGTTTTCTATGTCACTTTCTTATTTCTTTAAACGTATTTTTGAACATAACGTTCTATTATTTTTTAATCTTTTAATGACATGGTTGTACATTTCGAAATTTTCTCTTATAAGATTGAATTATTTTTATATGTTCTGTGTATACATATGTTTTCTCTTTGATAATATTTTCCTAGTATAAAAATCGAATATTTTGTCGCAGAAGCTAAATTGCATTGGCTTTTTTTTAGTACTTTCTTGCTATTTCAAATAATATGTTAGCATTTGGCAAAGCTTATTGATTGTTATATGCGAAGAAACATTGTAATAAGTTTAACAATTAAGAACCAAGTTCTTGTAATATTGTTTTTGTATTATTAATACAATTTAGAATATTCTAAGCTTAAACGCACATCTACAATACACTAATATTCCCCATATATACTGTAGATCAAGATGACTGTATTATGTACGTTTAATATATTTCCTTAACATTACTTTATGAAGAAATAAAATATTATAAATATAGCTTTATTTGATAATATTATTATCTGTATTCAATATTTTATCAAACAGATCAAGTAGATTTGAATCTATATTATAATGCATCAATAATTAATATTCAATGAGCACATTCATATATATATATATATATATATATATATATATATATATGTATATATATGTATATACTTACATATCATATAAAAATGTTGATGAAATAAAAAATCAAACATATCGAATTACTTTAATACATATATACTAGGTTTGTGAAAAGTTCTGTCATTTTCCTTATTTATTCAAACAATCAAGAATAATATAATTATTGTTGTTTATATATATATATAAAATTTATATATATTATATAATATATAAATTTTTAAAATAATTCATAACTTATTTTATATTTTTATTCTTTATTAATTTCATTTTGACAAACAAACATTTACATTTTTATTTGCAATTTTATGTATAATCATTTTATAGTTTAATGTTTGTACAATAAAATAAATAAATCCATATATCAACAATAAAATCAATGTTAAAAAAATAGAACTAGAACTTTTTCACATACCTAACATGTTATGCTAATAGTTAATTGTATTCGCTCAATGTTAGTTATATATTCGCGTAATGTGTCTTCCTGTCTTTTAGTTTTATCGCTAAATGATAAGATCGTTACGAGGTCGGTTGTGTCACGACATTTCATATTACTATAGTTATTAATAGAATTTTTTTACAAATTCTACATCAAATCGATCACACTTATAAAATTTAACACTATTATTAACTATTATATTTGCTTTCAAACTTTAAAGAGTTTAATATGATGTAATTATGAACTTTTTTAAATTTTTTTAATAAATATTTAAATCTATTTTTAATTATTGCTACAAAAATATTGTTATAGAATATTAATAGTTAATATTATATAGTATGTTTGTTATTATTTTTTAAAATAATTAAAATTATGACATTATTAAAATATTTCTTATTTATTATTATGATTAAAAAAATGTTACTTTTTATCTTATCTAAGTTAAAAGCAGCAAAATTAAGAAATGATTGATTTGAAGTAATATTATTCCATTACAATGAAAAATATGTTTGGACATTGACACAGCTCAAATTTACATTAATTTATATTTTTAGGACAAATTAAATTATTTTAATGTTCCAGAGAATTCAACTATTATTCGTTTTGTACTTATTTATGTATATATTTTTATTTACAAGTTAATGCATATAGTAATTAAATTGTAAACTAAATTTATTTTTTATAAAAAAATTTTGTAATTATAAATTTTGTAAATTATATATTTTTTTCAATTATATATTTATATAATTGAATATATTTTTAAAATCTTAAAGATTTAGTTTACAATATAACAAATTAATAAACAAAAATCCATCGTTAACGGAATAAAAAAAGAATTAAAAAAATGTTTGTTAAAATTTTCTTCATTCTTTTAAAGTCTGAAAATATAATAAATAGATAGAAAGTGATAGAAGGTAGGAGATGAAAAAAATGTGTATGTAAAATATAGAAAACATATTTCTGGAACTCCATCATGCAATGTTTTTAATGCTTATTGCTAAAGCATGTGCCGCTTAGCGCATGGCAGCTAGTTTCCACACTAGTTGAGTTTCTTTTGAAGTGCCATTTCAGTGTATGAAAAAGGGAATTAGGTGGAGGGTAAAGCAAGGTGGAATGGAATGAAAGGGAAGGAAAACAAATTTCACGTGAATCACAAGGAACAGAAGTAGCATTGGATTTACATGTTTGCCTCAATAGTGACAGGGTCCGACCCACCGGTCGGTAATCAGCAGCAGATCTACGCATCAGATGGTGACACCAACGGCAAGATCAACATACACGTCTCGGTAGTTTTTGTCAAATCATTATCGGACTTGAAGAAACAAAGAGCACAGAATCGGCATATATCTGCTGGATCGATAGATGCCAATGGAAATGGTATTCCTGTATCGCCTATTTGCAGTTCAGAACTCAATACTGGCAGAGATTTTCAACGATTCACCGGAAATACCAGTGATATTGTCGGTGATAATCATTCCGAAAAAAGTTGTTGCGCTGTCATGTAATTCTTTTTTTTTTTTTTTCATCATTTTTCTTTACAATTCATTTAATTTCATTTAATCTTATTCTGTATAATTTTAATATGTTTGTCAGCATATACTCGAAACTATGTATTTCTATCATAGAAAATCGTAAACATACATACATAATAATTGTATCAAAGAAATGAGATTTCGATTTTAAAAATTATGAATTAACATTTTCATCTTATCTTTTAAATATTATATATTCTCATACTTTAAATAATTCTATTTATAGTGGTTTACATACGATTGCAAAAGAATATCGTATGGGATCTTGATCTTAATGATATGCTTACGAATTCGAGATATGAGATTATATAGATTTCTAATATGTATTGTACTTATAAGCGAATATTTAAATAATTATTATAAGAAATAATTTTAATTAAATTTATAAGTTTTTTTGAATATGTACAGAATTCTATTTATTACAGTATAAAAATAATGTATATTTCAATAATTTTTAAATTGTAAATTACGTAAAAAAAAACACATTTTTGCAAATAGTATGTATGATATCGTATAGAATATTTCTCGTGTTTTTTATAAAGATTATAATTATAAATAATATTTTTTATATTCATTTAGATATACATATTTCTATGAATACTTTTATTTGTAAATTTTAATGTGTGCCGTTATTCTATAATAGTATATATCCTATGTTTTTTCTTAAAAATATATCGTGAATCATATAATACTCAATTAATATTAATTTCATATCCTATAAATGTTTATTGCATATTTGATTTTGCATCAAAAATTTATATTTTAAAATTAAAAGAAATATCTTTAATAATCAAATTTACAAATTAAATTTTAATTAAATTCATATAAATATTTTTTTTTACTTCGTATATAAAAAAATTTTTATATATTTTATATATATATATATATATTTATATTTATATATAAACATATTAAACATATTATGTAAAAATAGATAATAAAACAGTATTTTTTTTAATAAAATAATTTTTTTTTTTATATTTACATAAAATTTTTATAATCTATATTCATTTCAATAAATTATATTGGTAATATAAGATATAATTTTTTATTATAAAAATATGATTTAAAGTGTTTTTAATATACATACTATTGTAACTGCTTTTTTGAAAATATTTGAACGTGATAACCACATGATGGTCACATTAGTCAAAAACTGGTTAAATTTTCGAAGAATAAAACAATTGTGAATAAAAGTAAATATATAAAATTTATTGTTTTTTCATTGCACCAGATATTTATAAAATCAATTTATTTAATTGAGCAAAATATTTATATTCTACACGAATGATAAATGTTCAATAACAAACTTATAAGATTCTAAATCAATTGAAAAATGATTTAAATTATTTTATTTTCTGTCTTTAATAGCGATAAAGTTAATAAACCATATGAATGATTCTTCTTTCAGAACACTTATCGATAGGCATTTCTATTGAAGATGGTGACATCAAATTTAATCCTCTTGCTACGTAGAAGTTTAGTCGTAATCAGCTATCGCTGCTTGGTATGTCATATCACTGCACTACTTTATGATATTTGTCAATTAGGTTGCTTTTGTTTAGATTTATTATGTTATTAAATCCGATATTTTTTATGATTGTGAAATTGTGTATGATCAAATTTGTGCTTGTTTCATATTTAAAATAAAAATCAAATTATTCTGATACTGTTATGTTTCAATAAAAATTGGTAAATTAACAAATTACATTAGATACTATTTATCGGTACAAATATTTAATACATAGAAAGTAACAGATATGATAATAACCTCTTTATATGATCAATGTCGTGATAACACCGCTTTTTTGAATTGTAGCTGTCGAGCTACTGAGCTTAGCACGCATGGTAGAAAGATTACGTCAGTCGGTCCAGCAATTGTTATCTAATTTAACGAACACATGTGGCTTCAATTTTCTGATGCAACTCACATGAAGAACTTGTCGAACTCTGTTAAATTGACAATTAACATATCCTATATATTATGAGATTCGACATCGATTGATGACATCGTATCTCTCATAAGAGAGGTTAATATTGATATTTTTAGCTACATTCTTTGGATCAGTATTTTAAATTATATGCGTTTTTTTTAAATATTTATCATTCATACGTATTTATATAAAATAAATACGGCTTAATATATTAACAAATTTTTATTGATTATTATTAATTTTACTAAATCCTAGTTATTTACTAAATAATTTATATTATATATAATATTATATATGTATATAATATATGTATAAAAATATAAAAATTTTAATGAAATACGATAAAATAAAAAATACGAATAACAATTACCATCAAAAATATCCTGTGAAGTTCAAAATACAATTTTTACTATTATTAATTAGCGCTATAATGGAACGTACAGAAATACTAGAGCAGCAAAATTAGCAAATTAAATTGATGATTGAAACAAAAGCAACGATTTATGTGTATGAGAATGGAGTGGGTTCGTAATATATTGCAGAGTAGGGAAAAGAGAAAGAGAAGGGATAACGTAGATAAAAAGTAGAACTGCTGAAGCACGCGGTAGTTTCTTGTGTTCTTTCAGTTACCAACGAGATACCTTTCATTGAATTTGAAGTGAATTTTTATTTGTACTTTTATTTCTTCATTTATTTTTTTTAAATAATTTTCTTTTTTATTGTAGATTAAGGTAAATTATTTTTTTAATATTATTCGAAATTTATGTATTTTATTTTTCATTTATTTTTGTATAATATTTCTGTAAAAATTAAAAAAATGTTATTAATATTAATTAAAATATCATATCAATAATATAAGTTAATAGATTAAATTATTTTTAAATTCGCATTATTTTTTTATGAACACTAATCTTTTAGTTTAAAATTCTTTTTATTAATCGTCTAAATCGTCTTCAATAAAACTTGAAGAATAAATTTAAATTTGTAAAGTGTTTTATTCATCTTTCATTTCATATAAAATGATTTATGTAAGTAAATAATTATCTAAATCATTTGAATTGTTTCTGTCATTTATTTAATAAAATTATAGATTTTTGTTATAGTATTGATTTTTCAAATTAGATATTTGAAATCTTGCACTCTTTGTATTATCTTTTTGTATATAACTTTCATTTTCATTTCTGTTTTTTATATATAATTATTTTTATTTAATTACTCTTAATAAGAAGTAGGACAAAAATTTTAAAAATATTTTTATAAATCTTTCATATTAAATAAAAAAATATTCATATTAAATAAAAAAATTATAATAAATTGTTATAATAAATTACTTATATAATTTTTTTTGTATTTTTTAATAGAAAATTTATAAAAATTCTTTTCAATATCTAAATGATATTGAAAAATATTTAATGACGACATGTAATAAATCCTTCGTTGATTACGTATTATCGTGTTAATGTGATTGAACTAGATAGACATTCTTTAATCAAGTACATTGTAGTTGATGAATAGCATTTTAAGTATCTTGTAAGATATACCAATAAATTTTCAAGTATTTTTTTATAATTCTATTTCTAATATATTCAAATAGTTAAAATAATTAAAATATAAAAATATAAATGTATATCTTTTTAATAACTTCGTAAAAAAATTTAAGAAATTAATTAATATAATTTTTATTATAGAAAAAAAAATTAATATTTTATTCAATTCAAAGATAGAAAAGACTTTTACATTTTAAAAATAATAGTATTACGAAATAACACGTTTGAAACCAATCTTATTAAAAACAGAAACGAGGTAATCAAGTTATATAGTTCACTCTGTATATTCCTTCACGCTTTTTTTGTACACGCGTCAGGTCCGTAATTTATGCATAACGGGTGTCATGAAAGAATTATTTCTAATCATAAAAATATGAGGTCAATCATCACTAAACGAAATAATTTTTTAAACAAACATAAATCTTCAGGTACAAACAACATCAAAATATTGTAATTATTGTAATTTTCATATTTTTATTCATATTTTTTCTTATTTTAAAATACCCAATATAATTTAAAAAAATTAATATTATCTAAAGTTGATTAATTCTATTAATATTGAAAAATCTAAAAAATGAAAAATTGTTATAATTAGAGATTGAAAAGAAAATGATTTTATTTAATAATGTTTAATAGAAAAATAACATTATTTAATCATTTTATTTAATCACTTTAATCATTTTCAATGTAACCATTACTTAACAGATTTTACATTTCTTTATTGGATCAAATCAAAATAATACCATGATGATATATGAATCGAAAGATTTTTTCTTATACACTGTATTAATATTTTAATTTAGTTCATTTAATTTTAGCTATTATTTATATAATTTTCTATTTTTATATTCTTCTATATAATTCTATTCATTTTGTGATAATAGTCGAACAAAATGCCAGGACAATTCGAAGAAATTCAAGCAAAACGCGCAACATTTGGAATGGGATGTTTCTGGGCCGGTGATTGTTTATTTGGCGTTTTACCCGGTGTAATTAGAACTTGTGTTGGATATGCAGGTGGACAAAAAGAATCACCAACTTATAAAAATATGTATGTTTTATTTTTATTTTTCATTTCTAATAGAAATCTGTTTATATCTGTTATAATATCAATTTTTTTATTTTTATTGGCAGGGGTGATCATACGGAAGTCGTTGATATTGAGTATAATCCAAATATTGTATCATATTCACAATTACTTGCTTTATTTTGGCAAAATCATGAATATGGTCTCACTACAAAAATCAAGAGACAGGTAAATATGACTAGTCTCTTATTAATTTTTAGTTTTGTTAATTATATAAAAATGATTATATTTGTATTATTGCTTTTAGTACATGTCATTAATTTTGTATCATGACGAAGAACAAAAATTATTAGCTGAAAAATCACGTGAACAAGAGCAATATAAACATACAGATTTGATTCTTACTGAAATTAGAAAATTCGAAAAGTTTTATCTAGCAGAAGAGTAAGTACATGTTATAATTTTGTAAAATTTTTTTTAATAGAACTTTATAGAAAATTTATAAAATTTTTTAATAAATTTTTATAGAAAAATATAAATTAAAAATTAATTTTAAATTATTGTGCGTATTCCAATAATATTATTATATGAATTCCAACAATTATTAATATCATTTATCATAAATTAATTTTTATTAGATTAATAGATATACATATCGATAATATATTTTCGACTCTTTTTAATGAATTAAAATATTTATATAAGTAATTCTTATTATTTTTAAATAATTAATTTATTATTAATTTAGTTACCATCAGAAATATCGACTTCGAAAACATCCATGGTTAATGGAAAATACCGGTCTTACTAGTGATGAGCTTCTTCGAAATTCACCTCTAGCTGCTAAATTAAACGGTTACATCGCTGGTGCTGGAACGCTCGAACAATTTAAAAAAGAGTTACCTAATCTTGGTTTAAGTGAGAAAGCTGCGAAGTATTTAGAAAAATATGTGATTGAGAATCAAGGAAATTTATATTGCTAGCTGTAATGAATATTTAAGAATTTTTCATATATTTATCTTAGTACACATTGAACATGATATTTTTTCGTAAAAACAAATTTTAAAATCTGGAAAAAATTTTTTTTATGTGGTTCTAATTTCCTGTAAATTGTATTTGAAATCTCTCGCAAATAAGTCTTGAGCTCGATTTTAAAAACTTATAGATTTCGCTCGATAAATATTTTTTGTTAGTATTAATTTTCTTAATTTCTATAATTTTTACTATAGTGTGTAAGTTTTATTAACAGGATATTCATTATATTATATTTCATGCATAATACAATAATGACATGACATATTTGTTTGTTTGCTCAGCAATATTGGAATATGTTATTTTTAAACAAAAATTAAAAAGAAATTTACAGTAAAATAGGCTGTGAAAAGTATATATAGATAATATTGTTTGCAATCATTTGTTTTTTGATTACTTCGCACATTCTATGTTTTATAAGTTTATTTTTTTTTATTTCAAAAAAAAGCAAGTATGAAGCATACGATTAAAGTATGTTTTTTAAATTGTTTGAGTTCAATTTTTCACATAATTACTACTTTATATGACAAATATCATTTGTTAATTACAAATAAGAATATAATTATGTAATATTTATTATGAATAATCTTATAACCACAAGTATTAGAAAATGTATATAATTTCAAGACAACTGCGTTATTAAATACGCACGCTCATATACTTACATGTGGTCGTATGAAATATATGTATACATATGTATAACAGTGTTTGATGTGCATCTAATTCATTTCCATAATTCACTTGTTTTTTATACTTATTATTTATGCATATAAAATAATTTTGCATTATTTTTGCATTATAGGAATCATTAAAATATAAAAATAATAATTTTTATTTGTATCTTAAATTTATTTTCTTCTTATTTTGTTGAATAGATGTATTATAATTTTTAGATATAGATTTAAAATGCTTTTTTAATTTCTGTGAAAAACTTATTTCAATTAAAAAAAAAAACAGTAACTAATATAAAAAAAAATACATTTAGTCGGATAATAATTAAGAATCACAGAATATATCAATAATTTTTTTACTCAATTGTTTCTGTGAACAAAAGCAGATTAAAATAACTAATTAAAGCAGAAATCAGAAATCGAGAATCTGAATAATTGAATAATTTAAAAGTATTTATGAATGATTAATATATATAAATATGTATGCGTATGCAAATATGCAAGATTGCTTTATTTTTACAAAATATCATAAAGATTGTTATCTTTATGATATTTTTTAATTATAATTGAATGTATAATTATGCCATATTGAATATTCTGAAAACAATAACACAAAATAAAATATGAAATAAAATATAATTGTTAATTTTTCGATCAGCATATTTATAATTATTTTTGTAAATAAATATAAAAAATTTACGGAAAATTTAATAGTTCAAAAATTATAATTTTGTATAAAATTTTTAATAAAATTTTTTCGAAGTATGTATTTAGTTATATTTAAAGGTTATATGATATTTCTTATTGCATTTTTTATTGCATCTTTATTATATGCAAAAAAATGTGACGTAAGTATCAGATATTAAGAAGAAATTAAATATTTAAATTTTATATTTGATTATTATTTTAATTTCTATATATATTCATTATTTTTACTTTTCAATATAATTTTCAAAAATAAAATAGTATTTCATTTTATCTAAAATTTTTTTATTTACAGTATATTTGCGATACCAATGATTGTAAAACATCCATAAATTATTCAAATAATTTGCCTGCAATTAAATTTTGTATAAATAAAGATATTTCTACTGATGTTAATTTTTCAATAATAGATAAAATTTCTAAATTTCTTGGTAAGTAAATATTTATATACAAGAAAACTTTAAGTATTTATAAAATTTATTTATATTATATATATATATATATATATAATATAAGTAAATTTTATTTATTTTATATATATGTATGTATATAAAACAATAATATTTTAAAATTGATATTTTACATATTATAGATATCATACAGATTAAACTTAAACCACCAAAAAATATATGTAAATATGAGCTTATTTTATTAGCAAATGAATCAATCAATGAAAAAAAATGTATGAATTATAATTTTAATAATTCATATAAAAATGAAATACATAGTAGAAATATTATATGTTTTGTTTCAAATAATAAGCAATATCAGGTATTAGTACACTATTAGTACATATATACACATATACAAAATTCTAATTTGTTATAATTATAAATTATTAATCTTTCTAAAGAATTTATAAAAGAAATTGTTTTTAGAATACTGGAATACTTGTTCCATATGTATTTACAGCATGTTATTCTGTTCAATTTAATTTTCAAGATACAAAAATGATAAAAATGATAAAAAATAATAAATTCTTAAGAACTAATTATGAAAGAACAGACATTGTAGAACCAATATTGCAATGTACATATGAATATATCGAACTTAATAGTACAAAAAAGTAAGTTTATATTATGATTATTTATAAATAGATTTATATAAAATGTTTTAAAATAGAATTTTAAAAAAAAATGAATAAAAGATGGGTATATTTTGACATATACTCCCCTATCATAATTACTCATAATTACAGTTCAGATAAAGTTGGGTATATTGTACAATGATATTTGTTCTTTTAATGATGAAGATGTTCCTGATGGTTACTGGAATTTTCATCTTTTGGTAATTTAATTATTATAATATTTTTTGTTTTATATTTTCTAAAATATAATATAATATTTAATCATTATATAAAATATATAATTAATTAAAAATTTTATATAATGTATATATATATATATATATATATATATATATGTTATGATGTATATAAGAATTTTATATAACATATATAATGAGTAATCTTATGATGTAGTAATATAAATAAATTAAAGTATACTAAAATTGTTATGTGATTTATAGGATAATTATTTAGAAGATAATAATCATAATTTAAATATAATTTGGGTAAGTTTTATGCTTAATATTTGTATAATTCTATCACTTTAATAAACAAAAAGCAAACTATTATAATTTTAATATTATAATACTTATTAGCAAACAAATCTTGGAAAAGCCAACTATTGTACTACAATATATTTATGTGATGATATAAGATATAAAAATAACACTTTATGGTCACCACTTTAAATGTTTTTGGCATAAAAGTAAGTAAATTAATAGTCATATTTATTTATATATTTTCCTTATTTTTTTAGGCAATAATAATTAATATCCTTTAATTTAAATATAATTTAATAATATTTTTTTTATTTAATCACATATAATGAAATATAGAAATTTATTATAGGTTGTCAAAATATAAATACAATATCTCATAATATTCCAATCAACATTAATTTTGATAAATTTTCTTATTTCCCAATTATTATTATAACTTTATTTACAATTATTGGAATTATGTACCTCATCTATATTATGTGTATTTATAAAGTAAGAAAAAATATTTCTTTAAAAATATTTTTAATCATAAAATCATTAGAATTAATAAATACAATATATCAAATATTTTATAGGATATTAAAAAAAAGATAAAATGGGAAGATATTAATATAAATAGAGATATTGTATTGTTCTATACTAAAGGTTCTGAATCATTTATGGCATTAATGACAGATTTTCGACAGACACTTAGTCAAATTCGTCAATGTATTGTAAGTTATTTTCCACTAAAAATTACATTATATTAAATAGAGATCAATAATTTACTATCATTAAAAATCTTTTCTTTTAAAATATATATTTTATGTACAATTTGGATACAATTTTATATATTTTACAGGTATATGATTGGCATAATGGAATAGAATGGAATAATGTAGCTAAAATCGGTACTTTTGATTGGTTTGCAAAAATGCTTCATAATGAATGCCATATTGTTTGGATAGATATTCCAATATTACGTTCGTTAATTACACAAAGCCTTAACAAAAATAATAATTCAGAACAATAATTTAATAAAAATTGGTGATTTCCGTGACGCAATACTTCCCACAATTTTTAATTTATCTAAACGTAATATTGAACAATCAGCAATAAATCAGTCCATTTTATTGTAAGGTTAATATAAATGCTATTATTTGAAATATATATTATTTATATATATAAAATATATATTTTAAAATATATATTTTTTTAAATATATATCAATTAAATATATATTTTAAAATATGTTATTATTTGAATTAAAATATTTGTATTATTTCTTCACATTTTACAGATTAAAAGAATTTGAAAATTTTGAAAATGATAATGATCCATTTGTTGATTTGTCTTCACATATACGATATGTTTTACCACAAGATTTAAACTTACTGTGTTCCAATTTGTAAGTTTTCAATATTTAATAATTTTAATAATTTTAATCAATGATATATTTTTAAAAATTACATAATTATATAATGAAAAAATATTGCTTATAAAAGCATTAAAAATGTTAATATTCTATTATGATTTTTATATATCAGTGATATACATAAAAATCATTACTATATCATTACTATATTATATATATTAAAAATATAATATATATATTTTTTTTAGATCAAAAATGGATAGATAGTTATTTAAATATAACTATGTCATTAACAAATAAAAGACAAAATTTTATAATAAAGCATTTATATTATATATAATGAGATATATAAGATATATGATATATATAGATATATAGATATATAATTTTGTAAATATTATTATAATTTTTATAATCATAATAAATAATAAAAAAAAATTGAGATAGAGTAAAAATTAACTCAGTGCTATTTCTTAAATCATCAAGTTTGTCAATGTATTGTAAGTTACTCCGAAAACATCTTTTTGAAAGCAGAAGATAAAATAAAATAAGAATTGAGGATCAACGTTATCTCTTAAGTATTTATAAAAATGATTTTTCCAAAACATATCTAATATTCAAAAGATGGCGCTGAAGATTAATTCTTATCTATATCTCTTTTTTTCATTTGCTATTTTTTATGTGCTCATTTGCAGCATTCTGGAGATGGCGGTAATTTGAATATTTTTACTTTATTTCTATTCTTTTTCCTTTTGCTCTTGTTTATATTTACTTTGCAAAATTTATACTTGCATGATTGTTAATTTAGAACATAAAAAAATATAAAATGATTAATTTGATTTATTGTTTAATGCTTATGATTATCATTTTAATATAATAAATAATAGATCTATTTTGTATCTTATCTATGTTGTCTTTATTTCTAGTTATAAATTTCTAAAAAATTCCTATATAAAATTACTGAAGTATTGAACAGTTCTATATATTATTAATTATTATTTAATATTTTAAAAAGTTCATATATAAATATAATTTGTAAATAGTTTAAATTCGATGATAAGAAAGAAAGAAAAAAAGATATTTATAAAAAATTATAATTATTATTTATTTTATACTTGCACATAAATAAAAATATGTATTCTAGTAATTCCAATAACAACAAAGAACAACAAATCATTTTCTAGGGAAAAGATATGTTTTTGATTATATATTTTCAGAATGACTGACGGGCGGCAACTATTTGTTTATAGATTTGTACGTTATAAATAAGGTTCAATAAAGTATGAAAGTTTAAAAAAAATATTGTAATGAAAATAATATACCCAATGTTATTAATTAAAATTTTATTTAAGTTTTAATTTATTTTATTAATGAAAATATATATCTAATAATAGCGGTTAATCTCAAGATTTGTTTTATTAACTATTAATAAAATATAAATATTATTTGCATTCGATTGATTTTATAAGTAATTGTTGAAACTCTGTACTTTAATAATTAATTTAATATTTAAATAATTTGTATTACTTAATGTCTTTCGTATGGTTGAATCTTTTCAATCTCTTGAAAATAACCAACGTACGGTTGTAAAAAGATGAAACGTTTAAAGAGCGAATTAATTAATGCTACAATTGAATCATATTTAAAACGACGTCATTATCAGGCAGGTTACATTCTTATTTTTATTTCAATAATTTTATTTAAATTTAAATTAGAATTAATAAATATGACATAACCTCTTATTATTTTTAAATATTAATTATAGACTAGCGACGTTTTTTGTAAAAACAATCAAGTATATTGTAGAACAAGTGATGAAATGACTCTGAATGCAACTGCTGCTTCTGCCACATCTCAAGATAATTCAATTATTTTTAGTGCCATTAGTATTGATGTTGCTGCTGCAGATCAAGCATATCAGCGGTACATCCTTTTGTATTTAAAATTTTTATAACTGAATATATATCTTTTTAATGCATTAATTTGATTATATATAATTATTGTTTATTTTATTTTAAAAATAAATATTTTCTTTAGATTAAAGATGTGGGTAAATATTGTACTCGATGATAAATTAAAAATGGAATTAAAAGGGCTTCTATACCCTGTATTTTGTCACTTGTATTTAGAGATGCTACATGCTGGTAACAGACAAGCAGCAATTCAATTTCTAAAAACACATCAAAATGAGTTCAATAGTGAAACAGAGAAAGATTTTTTAGAAGAACTATCTAGTGTGTTTTCAGTACAAGATATTGAATTAAGACCTTTAGTAAATTCATTTAGAACCAGAAAATATAAAGTGGATATGTCTGATGTTGCTCATTTATGTCTTCAACAATTTCTTTCAAAACATGGACATATAATATTAATGCAGGTAATAAAATTATAATATATCAAACATTAAATACAACAAGTTGTTAATGAAACTATCTTTTTTTAATTTTTATTAACAATATAATGGTTTATTTATAGATAATAAATACTCATGTAACAATAATTAAAAAAATGAATGTGCCTGAAACAGATACAGATGGTTGTGAAGAAACAGGTTTACGTTCTGAAGTAGGAATTAATGGATATATAGAACAACCATTAGGTACTGGAGCTGATCGTGAAATGAGAGAACTCCAAGAGGCTATAAGATTAATCCGAAATAATGCTCATCAACCTCTACGAATATTTGCAGTAAATAATGCTGTTGAAAAGTAATTATATATAAATTGGAATTTATTTATATGAAAAGATGATTTTATTGGAGGTTAGTGTAAAAAATATTAAGAATCTTTGAGAATCATATAAAATATTTATTTTTATAGTGCGAGTAGTGGTATAATTCCACCGAATATGGATAAATTAGCAGTAGGATTTAGTACTACAGAAATTAGGTTATGGGGTATAAATGAAACAGTATTAATTAAGCCAAAGTATGAAGAACCTTCTTTCACATTTGCCTCGAATATTCCATTTTTACATCAATTTTATGAAACATCGAACAGAATGTAAGTTTCTATAATTTTAGTTTCATAATATCATTTTTTAGTTTCATAATATCATTTCAAGATATTATAATATATTTAATTTAAGTAAAATTTAAAATTATATATTTATTCATTATATTTTAAGGACTCAAGGAGGGGCAGTGATACTTAGAGGTCATACAGACATTGTACATGATTTAAGGTTTATTCCAGAATCTGATATATTACTTTCTGTATCTAGTGATAAAGATATGAGGGCATGGAGACTTAATGATTATACATGTGCAGCTATTTATAGGTATTTATATTAATTTTATATGAATATTTTGTGAATGAAATTATAATTATTATTAATTATTAATTATTATTACTAATTATTATTAAAAAAATACATAATTTGTTTCAGTGGTCATAATTATCCTATATGGTGTATGGATCTTAGTGTATTCAATTTATATGTAGCAACAGGATCTCATGATAGAACTGCTAAATTATGGTCCTTAGATAGGATATATCCATTACGTATATTTGCTGGTCATTTTTTAGACATAAATGTACGTACGTTTTTAGATTAAGAAATAGATTTTATTTTTGTAAATTATATATGAATTTAAAAAAGATAAATATGTAAAAAAAAAAAAGAAAGATGATAATTTTTATGTTAATTTTATTATGTATATTATATATATGTTTTATAGTGTGTAAAATTTCATCCAAATGCTCGATATTTAGCTACTGGATCTGCTGATAAGACTGTGAGATTATGGGATAAAGATGACGGAAATTTATTAAGAGTATATATAGGTGCACAATCAACAATTTACAGTTTAGCTTTTAGTCCAGATGGAAAATATTTGGCAGCTGCAGGTAAAACATATATATTATAATTATAATTTCATTTTTTATTAAATAATGAGTATTTTATAAGCTATAAAATTTAATTTTTTTTACATATATTAATCTTTTATATATATTTTATATGTAATTATATAAATATTTTTTTGCATTAATATTCTATATATATATATATATATATATATATATATATATTTAAATAAATTTATATTTTATAAATTAAAACTTTATTTTAGGTGATGACAAATCCATTTTTGTTTGGGACTTAGCAACTAATGCATTGTTAACAGAACTTAAAGGCCATGAAGACACAATTATGAATTTAGATTGGAGTTTTGATAGCCAATACATTGCTAGTGGAAGTTTAGATGGCACTATTCGTTTATGGCCTACACATGATCATATTAAAACTGTTAATAGGTAATTTTTAACATTATAAGGTATTTCTATAAATTGAAAAGAAATATATTTTTAATATTTTATAAAATTATATTATATTTTATTATATTATGTATTTTTATTATATATTGTTTCATATAGTAATTCATCAAATCTAGTACCTGAAACGGAATCACCACAAATATACTCAACTTATTGTTCGAGTATTCTCTCTTTACATTATTATAATAAAAATAATTCACTCGTGTGCATTGGAACTGTGGATAATTTGTAATATATTGAGGAAATGAAGAATATTAAATACGTATATTTGTAAATAATGCCTTTTATTATTTTTCTTTGTAAATTATTACATTGAATAAATTTTTTTTTAATACTGCAATATTGTAACACAAAAAAATGCTAAATCTTACTATCAAAACTTTTTAATGTATTATGTAACAAACGTTGAAATAATTTGTTTTGCATAAAATCCAAGAAAGAAGATGAATGCGAACCATAATATGGGCCTCCATGTTTCGATATTTTTCGTTATTCGTAATGGTTCAACATTATGTGTTCGTATACTGAAAACGAAACCTTCAATTAATATTAAAATTGTTTTTTGAAAGTTTCTATTATTTTATATTTTTTTATAATTTTAGCTGTTTATTATGAATTAACATATTATTAATATATATATATTATTTTGCATTTAACTGAATATAGTTTTTTATTAAATGAATTACCATGATTTTAATTGTTTTTCAACAGTTTTAGCCACATTTAATTCCAAGAAAGAATTTTGTTTCGTAATTAATCGATCTCTATCTTTTACATTATTAGTGATGTCACAATTTACGCTATAAACGCTATTATTTTGGTCATTTCTTAAGAGATTATTATTTTCTTCAATTGAATTTCTTCGTAGCTCAGTATGTTCAAAAATGTCACGTAATTCAATGACACTATTTGCACTGCTGAAATATGAAAAAATATATTTTTTTTTTATTATTCTGTATAAATGTTATAATAATAGATAATAAGAAAATAATACAAACTCCGTTCGATTTAATTTTTCGTTTTCCCATTTTTGTGTTTCGAAGCATAATGATGGACGTCTTAAAGTAACTCTTCCGGAAACAGAGTTCCGTTGTCTGGGAACTTCCTGAATATAAAAAGAATTAAAAGTCTTTTTTATCTTTAACATTTTTATATAATAGTTCGAATAACATTATAAGATAAATTAAAATTAAATTATAAGGAATAATATAACAAATGCCTTTAAAACATCTTGAGAACTTAAAGGTCGCGTAATTGTAGCGATGCTAGCTCTTCTTCTAGCCATCTGCAAATAAAATTAAGAAAAAATTAATTAATAATATATCGTTGATAACGTCTATAATCTATAATATATTTTTTTCTAATATATTATTAATTTTTGACAAACCATTGTTCGATTATTGCAAGGTAATCCATTTCTATATCGAATTTTAGGTAAATCGTCTCCCATCTCTCCAGAAGTTTCTTCTATCATAATATTATTCTTCAATAATATTTGTCTAGAAAATAATTTTTAAAGTAAATCGTATCTAAGAATTATTATTTTTCAAATATCATTAAAAATAATTATTTTTCTTTAAAAAAAATTCAATTTAATTTATTACATAAGAAATATAATAAAAAAAAAGTTCAAAGAAAGAAAAACTTTGAAGAAAGTGTTTACTTGATTTCTTCAATATCTGTTGCTAAATTTTCGCATCTGGATCGTAATAATTGCAGATACTTGTCACCTATAAAAATCGCTCTAGAAAGTCTGTGTTCTTGGTATACTGCTCCTAGTGTTTCAGCAGCGCAAGAAATTCTATGGGCCGACCGTGCTATCATGTCTAACCGATGACGAACTTTTTCTACTTTGTCTATTGACTCTTGATCCGTGCAAAGTGAACATAAATCCTATTATCAAAAAACAATAGATTATAGAAATTAATAATAAATAATTTATTATTATACGAGATTATATTGTTTTAAAAATTATTTAAAAAATTTTTTTAAAAATTAATAAAATAAATTTTTTTTAAAAATCTTTTAAAAATTATTATGTTCTTATATTATGTTTTTTTTATGTTTTTTAAAAAAATTGTTTATAAATTTTTTTATAACATCGTAATGAAAAATAAATTTAATTTTCTAAGAAAAATATTCTAAGAAAAAAATATAAATATTTTTAATTCGATATTTAAAAAAAATCTATAAAAGATTAAGGATTGAAAAGAGATAATATGTTACATTTACTTTTATATCTTCTTGCATTCTTTGTATTTCATTCATAAAATTTCGTTCCGATTGATCTCGTTGACGTAGCGATAAGACCATTCTTCGATGCAAGGTAATTCTATCAGAACCAAGTCCTATTGAAAACGCAATATATTTGCGCTGTAATTAAGAAACGGATCAATATCTATATGAAAAAAATATAGATTTACATTTATAAATTTATATTATATAAAATTATATATTTGATAATTTATTAACCTCGAGCTCTTTCTCCGGTAAATTTTCTCTGAAACAAGAAATGGAAAAAGAAAGAGATTAATCAAGATTATTGAAAATTCATATGTGATAATAAATTCAAAAGAAATGATATTGTTTGAATTATACCTGTATACGTTATCTATATCTTTCGAGCACGATAATCCAATGATCTGTAGCCTGATATCGTTAAAACTAGGAAAAGCTAGAAATTGTACCCTTTCATCGAACGATTCTTCCTCTTTCATGTATTTGCAACGGCATTTTGCACGATGGTATCGTTCGCAGTCACCTTCCGATAAAGACCTTCTCGTGGCAAAAAATCTCTGGGACGGACAATATCAAATGATATACGTATAGATTCGTGAATAATTTATAATTATTTATTATTATTTTAAACGGACATGGTTTTTAACATTTTTCATTTCTCTATAAATATTTTATTACGCGACCAGAACTGAAAAGGAATTTCAATAAAAGCATCCGGACACTTTATTTCAAATTTCCCAAAGATATAAGTATACCGTCTAACGTTTGCTCGTTCGCAATGCTTCCAGAGCAAATATTATTTTTCCTATCGAACGGAATAGATCGCCAGATGTAATGCGATCATGTGGTATAGTAACAACGATTCAAGATACGTAATATTTCGGATATCTAGCAATATGGAAGATAGCGTGTTTGTCACAATTTTCTTCCTTTTTTTTTTTTATTTTTTAATCCAAATTATTCCAAAAACCGGCGAATTATCTCGCGGTATAAATCATTTTGATGACACGAATAATTGGAAACAAACGTTTAATATACATTCACAGAAATAATTGGGAATAGCGTTTAATACGTTTTCACGAGAAAGGAAAAGTTTTAAAAAAGGCGACAAACGATACATTAAAATGATTACCAACTTGTCGCTCCTCTCGTTTCGAACGAAATTCCTCAGGATCCTCGCTTTCCTCGTGCTCGTCAATTTCCCTCGAAAGTTTCCGCGATGATTCAGTCATCGAGCAAAACAATGACAAGGGTTGCGACAATGGACTGTCACTTTTCGATCGCCGCCTCTCGATCTTCCCTTCGTCCCTCGAACATAACGCAGCGTGCATACTCCGTTCAATCGAATCATCCTCGCTATCGGAACCAATCGAGCTATCCTCGTGACTCGACATTTCGGCATCGACTGATGTATATTTCCCGAGGCGACCGGCACTCGATGCGTTCACAAACGAGCGGGGATACTCCGAATCTTTGATCTTAACCAGATCTGCGAATCAAAAAGGAATAGATCTTCAACAATATACATTTTATTTTTAGTCTTTTTTTTCTTTTTTTCCCCCTCCCCCCCTTTTCTTTTTTTCTTTCTCTTTCTTTTTTTTATCTTTTAATTCGATTCAAATTGTACGGTGAATTTACCGGTGGTACGGGAACAGGAAATTGAACGTGTGGCATGCATTGAATTTCCACGATGGAAATCGATTGTCCCATTGGTCGCGTTGTTCGTCTCGCCGTTTCCAATTTTTTTCTCCGCGAACGATCGGACGGTGTCGGTCGGATCGGTTGATGAATCGTTCTGGTGGGAATTAATCGCGACATTTTCATCTGCGACCTAATCGAAAGACAACGATCGTTAAGAGTAAGGAGATGATTATTTTTAACTCTTAACGGTCCAGCGTTTCAGCTCTAAGTTTAGACAGTGTGTTGGATGTCTGATAAACCGAGTGTCACTGTAATGGATAGTTCTCCTGTGGTATTCAGGATGACGATTGAAATCAGGCCAAGGTTCTCTTTCTCTTATTTCGCTTTTTGATCGATCGAAACGAACGAGAGCAATTTTTCAATTTTTTTTAAACTCGTAAACGTTTTGAACAAAATCTAATCGATGCGATTACATTTTTCAACACATTCGGTGAATCTGCAAATCTCTTTATCGTGTATTTTTCAAATTATCACAAATTACTGATATTAAATTTAGTATAAATGTTATTATCCTCGCTATCGTGCGAATATTAAAAGATGAAATATGAAATAAAAATTTATTTCGTATTTATGCATATTAGAAGGGAGCAAAATATTAATATTCGCTAAATAATTCTCGTGTTAAAAAATTATATCTCTTTCTCGAGAATCAATTTCACTACAGATTTCTCTAATTCTCGAAACTCATCCCAGTGGAAAATTTCATTTTCGTGAACGCGTGAAATGAAATATCACCGAATTCGTTCTTCACCGCATTCAGATTATTCCTAAAGAAAATATTTGTGATGCAGTAGATCGATCGAATTTCTACGAAATTAATTCGGCACGTATGAAAGATCTCTGTTTCGCGAAAACGGGGACTGAAATATCCAGCCAAGGAAAATAGAAGCAGGGGCCGTTAAGAGTTAATTGATCGATATAAGTGTGCGACCGCTCTGTACATATCAGCTTACTTTCAACTCGGAATAATTCCCATTATTATTCAACTTATAATGTTTCCCGATCGAAGTCTCGGTAATCGTGGAATAATTATCCACGATCGTATCCTCTCCAACTTGAGACAACTCGACCGTCTTTGGAGATAACGAACCAACTTTCGAAGCTTGCCCGTTATTCGAGGATGGCTTTTCGCTAAGACGATCCGGCGATGAACTGCTCAAAAACTTGCCACTCTCGATCAACGAACGATAAGTTACCAATTCTCTTTTGTGCAAACTCGTTTGTTGATCAGCTTCATCGTTATCGTTCGAATCGTTATCCTCTTGAATACCATCGATTCGAACGGATGGGCTGCTCGAGGTTCGCCTGAAATCGAGCGTCTCCTTTTCCTTCTCTTGATCGATCTGCGCGATCACGTCGAACGATCGATAAAACACGGACAATTTCCGTTTCGGTATTCTTGATAAATTGCACGCCTCGTTCGACGTCGCGTAATTGGCCATCTTCAAGCACGTGGCCCTTTGTTTTTGGCCCGTGTTTATTTCCACCGATCGGTGTTGCGTCTCACGGTGATCGCCACTCGTCGATTCATCCATTTGTCGATTCTTCTTTTTCTTCTTCTCTTCTTCTTTATTTTCAACTCGTTGAAATTCGCCTCACCGCGAAGACGAACGACACACACACACTTATATTGTTTTCGTCTCACCTTTCACACCTATTCAAATTGAAGAGAAAGAGAGATGAACAGAGTTGGAATAATAATTTTTCTCCGAGTTTAAATTTTCGGGCGCGAGGAGGGGACACGTGAAAGCGATCGAGGATGATGAACGGGGATCATGGAATGAATCGATCCTCGACCACGACCTCAACTTGACGAAAACACCCACGGAAAGTTGTAACACGGTTAACCGCGTACTGCTAAGCGGATTATTACGTAATAGAGAGAATGGTATCAATGCCAATGAGGAAAGAGCGTAGCGATCCGCGCGTCAAATAAACCAGTACGTTTTAGTAATTAAACGGGGATGAGAGTGTAGCGATCCGCGCGGTTTTACCACCCGCGATAACATCCTCCTCCTCTTCCTCCTCCTTCTCCTCCTCCTCCTCCTCCTCCTCCTCCTCCTCGAGATAAACAGTTTGCATATACATTAGATCCGTTCGTTAATTAGAACCGTCACCGATTTACCCAATTTAGCGCGGCGATCATATCATTGAAGCGATAAATTGGCCTGTCCTTGCTACTGGATGAATAAACGTTAAATCGGCACGTTAAACATCCACACATGCTTCGAACTTCTACGCGCTAACTCATTAAGACGTATGCGCATATAACTACTCGTGTATTCATAGTATAGACAAACGAGTCTTAATTGCAATTACAAATATTCGTGCGCGGTTGTACGCGTGCGATGCATAATGATCCGTGTTGGGTATATACCTCTTCGTCTGTTAACCAATCTAACATCGTCATATTTGTCGAAAGCATTAACAATCGATGTAACTCGGATGTAACTCGTGCGAGATCTTCCCGGAAATTCTCACGGATATATAAACAGACGATAAATATTTCATATCGAAAAGATCGAATATTTTTTTTTGATCATTTTGTCGAATAATTCTATAATCGAGTTAATTGCGATAATTTATTTATTTTTATTAATTTATTTATTTTTAATGCAATTGTAATAATGTAATTATTTTTTTTTTTTCATCGTATATCGCGAGATGTTGATTTACCTTGACCTTGATATTATAATGAAAATCCAATTACATGTAATAATATTGGATATTTTTAACAAGATTTCATGCGCTAGCTAGAATCAGCTGCGTTTCTCGACTATATATAAAATTTTCAAGTTTTTTAAAAAAACGAAACTGAGATACGTATATATCTTTACCCCTTCCCTGCCCCGAGATATATGTTAATTTATCTATTCCATTTCAAGGAATCGATTAAACTAGATTTTGCGTAACTTTCACTTGGTTACTCACGAAGGGGGATCACCGTGCTCGTTTGAAATCTGATTCGTCTTCGAACCGCGGATGAATAAAGAACCATCTAAGAAGAATTGACGTGACGTAAGATCGATGTAAGGAATAAATTTTCTCTTACCCAGTAGCGCAGTTTTTTTTTTTTTTACGCGAATTCGAGAATCGTGCGTTCTTGGTAACGCGTCGACTCGTGCCCCTCATTCAGAAAAATCGTAGCGGAAATGATGGCATTTCGCGGATTTCGTTTCGTTCATTCTCATGTAATATCGGTTAAAACAAATTTCATGGGATGGAAAATAGCGTGATAAAGATTGAAAATAAGTAACTGAAGGAATACGACTGGCACGAAAGCCGCAAGCAGACTGAATGCGAATGCGTGTAAAATTGCTCTCTTTCTCGCTCTGCCTCTCCTCTCCTTTTCGTTCAACCAATTCTATCCTCGGCTTCCCTCTTTTTCCCTCTTTTTCTCACTTTATCCCAGCTTTTTGTTTCTTTTTCTCACCTCTTTTCCTCGCTCCTGTCTGTATGTACTTCTTTCACGTTTCCATGCTCTTTTGATCCGGAAAAAATGTTGAAATGTTTTCAAAATGTATATTCGACAAGTATGTGCATAGATTATAAATGTATCCGGGGAATCACACACAATATCTGCTCACTGATATAAACATAAAGATTTCCCTATAAGCTTGTATTATTAATTTCATTGTTCATCCATTTGTACTGTAATATAAAATATAATGTTTTATTCATTGTTATGTTTCAATAATTTATCGTAAAAGAAATGTTAACTTAATGAAAGAAGATAATTCTCTCTTATTATATTTATAGCTATCAGTTTTGAGTTTATTAACCTCCTTATTGATTCATTAATTTCTTTATTACTTGTCGATTTATGAGATTTTTTTTAATTTATGATTTATGAGAGATATAGCCCGTTAATGTATCATCGATTCGTAATATTTCTTTGTTATTCGTTAATTATTTACAACGGATAGATACTACGAAGATCGTGTTTCCTACAAATATTTTGTATCAATAAGTTAATTATAATTTTAATATCTTGTAAAAAATTTATCGACTATACAAATACTGACGTTTTTACAGAAGATTTGTTCTTATGTTTAACAACGATTTAATTTTTTTCTATAAGATTAAATCTTCAATTTATCAAAATGGAAACAAAAAACTTGGAATAACGATTTTATTATGGTTCACGTACGATTATATCTCTTATACCACGGTTATTTTTACGCATATGCATTTTGAAGAAAGTATTTAGGCCAATGTCGTATCATGTGTGAAAACCCACGAGTTCTATTTTTATGGGAATCCCTGTGGTAAATTATTGTGCAGTTTCGCGATAATCGAGATTTCCTGTATCAAACGTAAAGAAATACTCGGTAATCTCGGTAAAGTAAAATATATGTAGAATTTATCTCTAATATAGTTAAATTATAATACATTAAAGAATCATCGAATCTTATCTTATTATGTTATTATATGTACTAATAAAAAAAAAATAAAATTCGGATACTGAAAGAAAAACTTGAATAAAATTTTACATTTATGTACGTATACTTTTGTTAAAAATAAATACTTATCGTTCACGGTCATCCAACGATGACCCAACTTTATATTCTACATTCGAGTTCTCCATATTTTTCTTTCACTTCGATATTTTTTTTTTTTTTTTTTTTTTTTTTCCCTCCTTTTGATGAAAGATATTCACGCATCGAATCTATTTTATCTCGATTTAAAAATATTCAGCTTCGAACCAATTTGATTTTCAACCGATTATATGAAATTCGAAACGAAATTTGTTAACGAACTTAAATAACAAACAATAAAATAACAGAAAAGAGAAAAATGAATCGATGATAAATTACGTTATTCGACGAATGATAAAAATAATGATTAATGATTGCGTCAAAATTTATCTTAAGTCAATAATATTTTCACTCACTTAATATTATATAAGAATTTTTATCCGAACCAAGATCAATTGTTTCACGATCGTTAATTGTATTCCAATTATCGTAATTAAGTACATCAAGAAACATCACTGAATTAATATCAATCATATATTCGAGACTGACGTCTGATCTGAAATAAAAATTAATTTCGATCAATGATGTATTTTTTTTTTGTGATATAATTTTTAAATAAAGATTAGTCGTATGAACAATTGTACACAACTTTGTACATCATTAATGATTTATTGAATTGAAAAAGAAAAAAAAAAAGAAAATTCAAGAATCGTAGTTTCATTGTATTGTTCAAATCCGGTTCGCGGCACATACAACGGCGAATACGTAATATATTAATCGCTGTAGTATACTTATCCATTATTTTTTTCGTTTTGATATTTTATTCTTCCTTTTTTTCTCTTCTTTGAGATCGAAACATGCTTCAATATTTCTACGAATCTTTCCTTTCTGCCTGATTCATGGCACCGGCTCGAGCTTGACCATCAGTTTAGTCTTGAACTGCACGCCACGCGCATTAACAACGTTTATCAACAACGTTTTATCAACAACGTTTTATTTTATTTTTATTCGTGTCGTTTTTCATTATCAAGGAAATGTGCAACCACATTCTATCGAATGTAATTTTCGTTTCACTTCTTGTCATTCTATCATACGCGATCGACGACGAACTTTACGGTAAATAAATTTTCTATACAGTATAAGTTTCTGACAGTATAAATAAATGTGAATGTGTATATATCATTTATATGATTATCTTCGTGCCAAACGATATGTAATCAAAAAAATCAAAATTTGTAATCATCTTGTTTAAGAAGACATTTCGTCATGAATACCGATAGAGTCGGTTTTTATCCAGTTTTTTCTGGAAAAAAATATCTGTTCTCTTTCATGGACTTTGTTTTAAGTTTTATCCACTGAATCTCTAAAAAAAAAGAAAGAAAAAACGAAATCTGGATCTCTTCTCTCTCGTGAATTTTGTTGACTAGAATTATGATGAACTGTTTGTTCTTCGTCACAACGATACGTGTATCATTATAACGAATATAACGAACTAGTCTTCATGAATTCCACGATGCAAACAAAATATTTAGATATACCTTACTCGTGGATGTTTCAGATGTGTTTTTTTGTGACGTTATAATTGCATCACTATGTATCATAAATTCAATTCTTTTTTCGACAAATTATAACAAATTATATCACGAATCATGTTCGATATTGTGTTATGATATTGTGTTATATTAAAAAAAAGGACAAATATAAATTTAAAATCCTATATCTTAGTGTACTCACATTTTATATTAACGTGATAATGTCACAAGGAATAAAACGAATATTATGTATTTCTTATTTTTCTTTGTTTCTATTAGAAGGGAGTCAATGTACGTTGGAAGATGGTAAAACAGGCATCTGCAAGAAATTAACCGATTGTCCAATGAGAATACGAGAGGTGCAACGAGGTATAAGACATTCAACTTCAACGGGAAGATGCGGATTTTCTAGTTTTACTGAGATCGTTTGTTGTCCTATAGTGAATTTCGAAAGAAAAGTGTTGCTTCGTCCGGCTGATATTGGTATGAGCGTTTATTATTCAAAAAAATATCGAATGAGTCACACAGAAGGCAATCTAATCAATTCATTAAGATAAAAGCAGATTGAGTCATTATAGGTTATTAAAATTTCAAAAAATAAAATAAAGTTAATCAGTTTGACTTCTGAATGACTTCATGAATGAATACATAATTTAGATTAGAACTTTAATAGTAAAATATTAATTCGAATATTATATTGCGAATCATTAATAAATTTTTATTAAATCTGTTTTTTATAATTATTCTTCGGATGTATCGATATTTTATTATCAAAGATCGATAGAAGAAGTTTATATTTCAGCGTTATTTTTAGATCTAGAAATGCTTATAACATGAAAGTTTAATAATTTATGATATAATTGTTGATCATAATATGATATATAAATTCATATGCCTATCGTGTATTTGATATGTGAAAAATGTATGTACACATACACAAATCTGTAGATAATAATTAATGTTTAGAAATACAAAAATATTAGAATTAGTTCTATCTTTTATTAATTTTCAAAATAGTTTGTTATTATAATTATTTTATAAAATAATAATTTTTAAACGTTTATTTTAAAAAAAAAACGAGAAGAAAATTCAATGAGAATTTATCTTAATATCAAATTTCATGTATTTTAATTGAATTTGAAATAAAATACAAAAATGTATAAAAGTATGATGAAAAGAAATTCATTGACAAAACATCGTTATCATATAATGCATATAAATCAACTGCTATAAAGTGATTTGCATGTCTCATTTAAAATTTAAATAACCGGTCTTTTTTTTAGTTGAAAATTTATGAATAATACGTAAAATAAAATTGTACGTATTATCGAAAAGAATACAGTCTTTTTGAAGAATTTTATTGATTACTTATTTAGAGAACCAGCGTCATTTAATGATTTATTTTAATTCATATTTAGTTCATGATTTATTCTATAGGTCTAAGTAATTATTACACATAATTTTATAGTTAAATCATTTTATTCCATTTATTATAATAACACGATTTTCAGCTTGTCAAGAATACGGCAATAATGTAACAACAAAAGAGGAAAAAAATTTGTCTCTCCACATATTTAATGGAAAATTGGCTATGTCGAGTGAATTTCCATACGTAGTGGCTTTAGGATATGAAAACGACAACATTTCCGAACCTATCAAATATAGTTGTGGAGGTAGTTTGATATCTTCTCAGTATGTATTGACTGCGGCACATTGTGTCAATAATATAAATGAGAGAATACCAATCGAAGTGAGTATTATTAAAAGATTTGAAACCAAATCAAATTAGCAATCTTTTATTAAACTTTTACGCGTTGTTCCAGGTACGATTAGGAAATGAAGATATACAAAGTATCGAATCTAACGTGCAACGAATTCCGATAAGTGACATAATATATCATCCAAAGTATAAACGCAGTACACAATATAACGACGTTGCTATTTTGAGGCTGAAAACAAAGATACAGATTTCGAAAACGACTAAGCCTATTTGTCTTCAAACCAAATCCTTAAGATCATTGAAAATAACACCGAGAACATCTTTAATAGTGATTGGATGGGGCGCTACGAGTTTCGATGCCGAGAATTCTGTCAAATTGAGAAAGACGCCTAGTCTCAGGTGAAGCAAAATTATCTCTAATAATTTCTAATCGAAATTCTATTAAATTACGAAATTTAAGATAGACTTGTCTTCTAAACATTTTTGCATATTGTCTTTATTCAATTTAAATTTAAATTATTAAAATTATAATGAAACTTTTTTATTTATAATATTTGTTTCAAATATCACAGCATTGTGAATAGAGAAGAATGCGAGAAACATTACGTAGGGCATCCAAGATTACCTAATGGCATCGACGACAATTTCATTTGTGCTATAGACAATAATGCCAGTCGAAGAGCGGATGCTTGTCAAGGAGACAGTGGAGGTCCATTGTTAATGATGACCGAAAAAGGTGATAGCGTAATTGGAATCACAGCTTTTGGTAATACTTGTGGTTCACCTGCCCCGGGTGTTTACACCGCGATTTATTCCTATTTAGATTGGATCGAGGAACATGTTTGGACGAATAAAAATGAGAAAAAAAATGTCGTGAAGACAGAATTTTTCAACATTACGATCACGTTCTAGTGAAACACACTTTACATGTGTTTGCCAATACGTATCTCAGGTAATGATCTCCAGGTAATGGAATTCGATTATATCATGGAGATTATTTTGTATTGCGGGTTCTGTTAGATGATCATACGTGATGATTAATGAATTGTCATAGATAAAAGGAAAAAAAAAAAGACGAAAAAAGGGGATAAACATTAACAAAACCCTCTTTTATTTATTCACATTCTGTACAAATAGTATTTTACATAATGTCTGATAATATCTATTTTACCAACTCGAGTATTGACCGGTAATGTGTGATAAGCATCGATTTGAATACTCATTAAAAACGAAGTTCAATTAAAAAATAATAGATATTGAAATAAAGAGATAGACATCGTTGTTCAATGTTATTACGAATCGATCATATTATTTTATTTTATAAGAAAACGGATAAAACGAAAAAAAAAATTGTTAAACTGATATAAAACTATAAAAAAAAAAAAGATTTTACAAACGATTCATTTACGTTTAACAAGGGCCTCGTATCTTCGAAGTTATTACTTTTTAAGATAAGATGCAAAAAAACATACCAGCACCAAGATTTAAAGCGATTCCAAGTAATCTACGATATAAGTTTCCACATTTTCCTCATAATAATTAAAATTTTGTAAACCACAAAAACCATATCAACGCATATAAATATAAGTGGATATATCCATGTCTCGCGTGGAGGGTAAGTTGTCGGATTTATCATAGAACATCGAAATCCTTATTTATTCAACAAAGGGTGTACAACGATTATGATACAAGTGTACGCGATATGCGATGTAATACTGTTAACGATCAGGTGCAATTAGTAGATATATAATTAATTTACAGTCTAACGAACGAGTTCCAAAGAATTTCATTATTCCCACGGTCTGTCCGTGACGCACGATTCAAGCGAAATTAATCGGGAGTCGTTTCGTCGTTCATCAACTAACCGTAACTTCTTATCTTTTATTCTTTGAAAAGATTCCGTGCGTTAAAGAAGAAATATTTCCATCGTATAGTAAACGTATTGTATTCCCATCACCATCTAAAAAAATCTTCCAATTTCGTAATTGAAATTTAACTTTCTTTCGTCGAACCGAAAAAATTGATGGAGCAAAAATAATCCAAAATACAAGATTAGAGAAGAAAAAGAAGATCGATCAAGAATTATCTAATGCATCTATAGTCCGTTCAAAATCAATCAACCGTTCAAAATTACTCATCAGGACAAATATATTTTTGAACGATCGATCGATTTCAAACGAACCAATACGATATAGCAACAAGAATAATTTAAAAAAAAAAAAAAAAAAAAAAAAAAGACACGAATAAATTTATCTTCTTCGAAACCTGTCCACGCTAAAACGACCCTCGCCACAATTGTATCTTACAATTTCACCCCCATTTAGTGGCTATAGTGTACAACGATCTAAGAAGTTCAAGCGCCCTATTGTCAGACGCGAAGCTCTCGTCCTCCTGGAGGGAATTATTCTCGTCCGATACCGTCCCCTTCTCCGATCGTCTCGCTACATTCGCCGAATTTTCCGTGGTCGAGCGAAATCTGCGGCTCTTCCTGCTCCTGAACGTGGTCACGGGCGGCTCGGTAATCAACGTCGAACCGCTTCTCGCGTAATTAACCGGCTTAACGGCGGGCAGATTGAGCTGATTAATCTCGGCCACCACGTTTCTCGACTCCTCGGACGAGAATTCGTTCACGGGCAATCTGAGCAGCGCGTTCAACAGCTCCTCCTTCTCCCGTTGCAACGTGTTGTTCGCCGGATCGTTGCAATGCCGTATCAAAAGGAGGACAAGTTGTCGAACGGTCTCGTTATTATCCGCCTGTTTCATCACCCTCATCAACGTATCGGTGCTCGAAGCGTTTAATTTGCCGAACAATTTCTCCGCAATTTCGTTCTCCGTCCCGTTCGACTTGCCCGTGTAAGGAAGCAAAGTCACCAACCCACCCTGTTGGCCAGCCAACAACGATTTCGTCGACGTGATGGAGGACGTTATCGTGGTAGTGATGCTGGATCGTGTGGTGATCAACGGCTTCGGCGTCACGGTGTTCTCCGTGAACGAAGTTGGAAGCAGGGAGAAGGTGGTCGGCGAATCCTTGTCCCTGGACGATCTTTGCACTGACGTATCCTCGTCCGTGAACGACGACTCCTCCGAACTGGTCAACGTATCGTCATCGAAGGAAGGCGTGTTCCCGTATTCTATCCTCTCTCGACTGTCCGTGGCGCTGAACTGCGTTCCCGTTGACACCGTCGATTCGAGATCCGACTCCAAGTCGTAGTTGATCCTCTGAGGATCGACGAACACGGAGGTCTCCCACAGATGGGTGACAGCCGGTGACGAGGTCCAATGATCGCTGTCCAATACCTTGGATTCTTCCTTCTTGCGATTCGTGGCTTCGAACGAGTCGTTAGAATCGTTCGCGTAAAACGTTGTGGTCTCGACGCTGGATACAGTTGTTGTTACGGGGGATTCGGTTAGAAGGGTTGTCGTAGGCGTCGTTCTCTCGGTTGTCTCGATATTATACTCGTCCACGCGATTGTAAAGATTCCTGAATTTCGCGTAACTGTTCCGCGACGTTGGCAGGGAAATTCCAACTTTCGCCTCGGTCAACAACGATTTTTGTCGAGAAATTTTGAAGGGTTGCTCGGTCGACGTCTCGTAATTCTTGGTCGAGGCGAGGGTGGTCGCGCGTACGTTGTGCGTCGATGTGCTGGGATAATTCTCGGGCCTCTGAGACGCGGGAATATTATCGTTTCCCTTTCGAATCGCTTGGGAACGAGCGTCGAAGAACGGAGGACTCAGTTGTTGCTCGGGCTTTTTGCTCGTCGATTTCTTGTTCCAATTGTAGGTAACCATGTGCACGAACATCGATGGCGATAAAGGCGTGGGCGAGACGACGTAATTATCGCTTATGGGAGTGGTGACGAACGATATTTTATCCGTGTACGGTTCGGCGATTGTCGTGGCGCTGTTATTTTGGAAACCCCCGACTCGATTCCGACTCTCGTCGGAAGAAGAGAGATGGCCCTCCGTTATCGTTGCCTCGACGCTTCCTTTGTCTATCTCGTTATTCCGATTGTAGAATCCGCTCGTGTACGGTGTGCTGTTCGCCTCTGCTGTAAACTCTGTGCTCTCTGTTGGTGGCGTGGTGGAACTCTCGAAATAGTTACTAGAGACGGGGCTCAACGATATCAAGTTCGTACTATATTCGAAGAAATCTTGGGCAGATGTTCTGGGCGTAGTGTAATAGGTACTTGGCAACGTGCTCAAGGTCTCGTAAACATTCTCTTGTACCGTGGTGCTGGGCAGCTCGAAAGTAGTGGGATAAGTGGTGGTCAATTTCTGCCTGATATCGTTGCTGTCGTCGGAGAAGTCTAAAACCTCGTCCTTTTCCCTGCCCAATGAACCGTCGTCTTCCTCCTCCTCCTCCTCCTGGGGATAAGGGGTGGTGGTGGTACCCCATAAATCCGTTTCCAACGTAGTTCGAGACGGTTCGGTGGGTCTGATCTCGGTCAACACCTTTTTGAACGTGTCCGGATCCAACAGATACGCGGACAAAGCATGGGTGAACACTTGTGCCAATTCTCGAAGCCTGGTACCGTTCGACTTTCGAAGATCGCCCAATGATCCTCCGCTTTGTTGAAGCTCCAGATCATCGTCCTCTCCTGCGTAACTGTTATCCGGACTATCTCTCGTGATCGTCGCGTTATCGATCTCCGCACCGTCGTTCTTCAATTTGAACAATTCCGTGTACGAATCGATGGTATGTCGGGTAAGAAGGCTGGTCGGCACTCGCACCGTTCCGTCACTTTTTTTCGAAAGTATCGATCTCTGTATATCGTCGGCTACCGATTCTATGTTCAAAGACGAGTCTGTAGTCTCGTTGGAATTGAAGTTCTCGGTAGCCGTGGAAAAGTAGAGCGCCAGAGAGTGTAAGGTGGACGGGTCGGGGGGAACGGAAACATTGGTCGCCCTCTCGCCTCCTTTGAACGCGTCGGACAGACCGGGCACGCTGTGCTCCAGATTCTTCAGGGAATGGAGCATGCTTAACACGTGCTCCCTCTCGGTGGACCGCGATCCGTTCGTCTTGCTTTTACTCGACGACGTCGGTGTAGGATATTTCGATTTCGGCGTGGAAGTTCTCGCGTAAGCCGTGGTGTAGGTAGGCACCGTGGGAGTGTAGAGGGTGGGTCTCGAGGTGGCGCTGGTTGCCGACGTGTACGCGTAATTCCTGGTGAACGGAACGTAAGGACCCAGAGTGGACATCACTTTGCCCTGTTTGTACGTGAAACTTCTATCGTAAGGACTCAGATCTTTCCCCGTATTTTCTTGATAAATCGACGTGGTCTTGAACGGTTTCTCAGTGCTAGTGGTGCTGATCAAGTTTTGCCGATAACCTGGCGAAATCGTGGAAGGGTTCTTCCCGCTCGGTTTCGTATCGCTGTTTAATCCATTGGACCGATTATCGATCGTGTCCACCGGCCTCTCCGTGCCACGTGCAAAATTATTGCCGCGAAAAGACGCGGTCGATGTAGGCGACTGGTAATAACCGGTAGTCGTATACCTCTGTTGAGGAGAGCTCGTCGGTGTCACGGTGGTTTCGCGATACGTATCCGTGGTCGGGTAGGAACGAGCGGTTGAAGGAATCGTTCCTATGTTAGCCGCTCTGTTAGATTCCCTGTTATTGTTAATATTGTAGTAATTTTTATCGACGAAGCTGCTTCGAACGTTAGTTCCTATAATCCTCTGGCTTCCACGATACTCGTAGTTGGTATTGGCAAATCGAAGGGATTCGGTTGGTCGAGTGTCGAAATTGGCAAACGAGTTTGTCGAGAAGCTACTCTCGGTGGCGATCTCGTCGTTGTAGGGAGTAGTGGTCGCTGTGGGTGTCGGGTATTGCGTGGTGGTCTCGTAATAGGAGTCACGCGTGGAAGTTCCTGGGAACGAGTGATCGTTCCTCCTCGTGGACACGTCGTTTTCCTTGTCCTGTCTCGAAGTGGTCGGATCGTAATTAGGATTTCTCGTGGTAGAATCCCCCCGATTGATATACAATTGATAGTAATAGTGATGCGTGTTTCCAGTGTTCTCGTTGAATCGATTCCCACGATTTCCAACGAAAGCCGCGCTTTCAGCAAATTGCTGGGATTCTTTCACAGGGCTGGTATTGCTTCCTCTGAACGTGGTCGACTCGGTATAAGCCGGAGTCACCCTTTGGGAAACGGTAGAGGTTGAATTACCTCTCAAACCTTTCAACTTCGATCTCTTCAGAGTTCCTTTATCGTCCCGTTGGGCATTCGAGTTTCTATTGGTCACGTAGTAATTTTGTGTCTTTTTCGAGGCTGTGTAATAATCTTGATTCGTGGTCGAATACCTATTCACGTTCCCTTCCTCGGTATTCCTTGTAAATTGATCGAATTGTTGCTTCAAATTGGACGGTTGATTCGACGATTGAAACCCATTAACACCGAACAATTGATCGTTGTCTCTTTGCGCGTTCGATTCCCGGTTGAAATTATTGGCGGAGTCAAAGTGACGGGAGGATTTGACCCTTTCTCTGTTCGATTGAAGCTGGTTCTCTTGGGGAGGCTCCTCGTAAGGTTTGATCCTTCCGTTCTGTTTACCGTCGTAGCTGAGATTTTGCACGTCGTAGTAATCGTCTTGTTGGCCGCGATCTTGCTGCTCGATCGATTGTTGGTAGTCGAATTTCGATTTTTTTCGGCTCGTCTCGGCTCGTCTTCTTTCCTCCTCGAATAGCTGCTCGCTGCTTTGCTCGTACAGCTCGGTGGATTTGCTACAGTCCACCTTGAACCACCAATCGCAAATCAACTGCGATTGCTGAAAGATGGTACCGTTGGGACAGAGGAACGATATCTTCCGGCCATTGTCGCAGATGTGGAATACCTGAACAAGAAAGAGCTTCATTCACGATTCATCGAAGTTATTCTTTTTTTTTCTTTTTTTTTCATTATTTTCAAAGTAAATTTGATTTCTCATTCGAAAATCTACGCTTCGAATGATTTGACACTTTTTATATAGGAAGATATTTTTTTCTTTTCTTTTTTTTTTTTTTTTTTTTTTTTTCTAGGTGAAAGTTTGATATACTCTAAGAAGTTTTAAACGCTCTATTCATCGTTTGCTCGATTACGATATTATACAGAACAAACGCATCGCGATTTCGTAACGTGGAATCCCGCGTTTGATTAAAATAATTACGTTGCGGCAAGATACATATTAAGCTATTCGTTACTCACTTGACAATTTGTCTCCAAGTCCGCGTAGTAACCACCTTTCAGGCCGCGACAGCTGAACGAAGTGGTTGGAATTGTCGTGAGTGCTGGAAAGTCTACTCCGGGCTGTCCTGTCACGCCTAAATTAAAAGAGCAAGATCTCATTGTACACAGCTTGATTTTTTTTTTTTTTTTTGAAAAAAAAAGAATTCACTGACGTTTAATCTCTCAGCAGGAAATATAGGAACATTTTTTTTCATTCATTCATTTGTTGGCTCTCTGTGCAAAGCTAAATATATATTTTCATGCAACCGAGGCATTCTCTACGAATTGTAAGAATAATATTCATTTCGTTCATTTCAAAGAAAAATTATTATTATTATTATTATTCGGTTTAAATTCGAAAAAGATACATAGAAAATGATCGATTTGAAATATATTCTCGTTCGAATTATCGTTAAAATTAAAATTATTGTTATGCAGATATATCAGAAAACGATAATAATACATCGAGTTTAAGTTTAAATCGATATCAATATTCAACAATTCGCGATCTCGTTTCATTTTCTATCGAACGATATTAATTTCCTGATCCATGTTATTAGTTGTCACGTTGATAGGTTTAAAATAAAAAGTAATAGCTAACTGAATACATGCGCTTTATTCTAGTTGGATAGAGGAAGCTGGAAGAGAAAGCGGCTGTTGTGTACTTATGCAGTATTATTAATAATACCCGCTCCTTTGAGCCATTCCTTGAGAAGATCCACATTTCCGAAGAAGACTGGGAAAGAAAGGCGAAGAAAGTACTTTAGAGATGGAACGGAAGAGAGTGTAAATTGCGTACATTTAGGCGTTAGTAAGAGTATTGGTTAGGAACCTTGATAAATTTGGTACTCGCCATTCTTCTCCGGTGCCAGTCTTTTCACTATTTTTCTCAACGATTCTTCGTTTTCCAACGATGCTTCTAGGCTTGATAAATCCAACTCTGACGGGAACTTGGACAAATTTATCTTCTTGTTACTATTTTCTGACTAGAAATGAATTCAATTCGTAGTAAAAATAGATAATATAGTAGTTGAAATGGTGATTTTTTTTTTTTAATAGTAATAGTTTTCAAAGAAGAAATGAAGAATTGCAATTTTGTCCTATTATATAATCGTGATAACATAAAAAAAAGAGAGGTAAATAAATAGTTGAATATAGTAATTTTATAATTAAATATACATGTTTAATTATAAATGTTATAAAACAGGATAAATGCGTTAATGAAAAATCATAATCACCTCTGTTTCGCAATTGCTGACCATAAAAGTGATCATTGAACCTGTAAAACCGAGTAACGTAAGCATCATCGTTTTAAAAATCGATGAAATTTATATTTCATTGAAAATGATATTTCATTTCATTGTTTAATATTCAAACAACGCTAACGTAATATTTATTCTATAGATCAAATATAATGTAAAAAGAAAAAAAGACTCTACTCATACTTACATAAAAATATGATTATTTCAAGGCATGCCATTCTGGATAAATTTTTGTGCACGATTCTGAAACAAAATACGAAAAAAAAACTTGATATTTTTATATTATTACATTTCTTTTATTAATATATTTTCATAATACAAATCTTATAATGTTCGAATAATTATTATCATTTTATACGTAATATAGATAAAAGTTACACGAAAAATATTAATTAATACGCATTAAAATATTAAACAATAATGTACAAAGGAATGAAAATGTAAAACATAAATTTTTCAATGAAAAAAAAGTCATCTGCCGAAACCCGGGATCGAACCAGGGACATTTAGATCTTCAGTCTAACGCTCTCCCAACTGAGCTATTTCGGCTTGTGAAGGAACGCTTCTCTATATTAAATAACAAGCATTCGTTCGTTTATTTCGATCAATAAACTAAAGTATTTTTAAAAGTTATTCTTAAATTTAAATTGATCATTTAAATTGAATAAATATTATAAATTGAATCTTTTATATCCAATTAAAAAATAATTTTAATAAGAAACATTCACATAAAACAAAACTTCAACGAAGAGATGACATTTAATCGTTTATACCTCGTAACGTAAGCATCCCATGAACTATTAATAAATAAAATACCAAGAACTTTGCTCAATCACGATAATAATCTCTTAAGATTTATGCGGTAACATATTTTATAACTATTCATCCTCCTGATAATAAAAAATTTATAATAGCTTTGTTAAATCTTCAACATAGTGATAATGAAATTCATTACAAAATATACGAATAAAGTAGATACTTGATTAAAAATGTATTCAAATTATAACAATAATTATATATTTACATAACTACATAATATATTGTAACGTATTAATAATTCATATTTGTATTAATCGCATTGAATCTATAATCATATGTAAATAGTTTATCGAACACGAATCACTCGAAACAAAATATCGATTGCTGCTTGAACTTGCGATCAATAATCGCATACTATATATTCATCATTTTTTAAATTATCTCCTTCTCAATGAATAATTTGGGAAAAATTAATCGGCCGTTCACGTTCGCGTGAAAAATAAAAAGAGAGAAATAACGAATAAAAAAAAAAGAAAAGGAAATAAAATTCATCACGATTCCTCCTTCGTGATTCACAATCACCCACGTTGATCGTGCATACACGTCAATCAGTGATAAACGGCCGACTCGAGTTTACCGAGAAAAGACGTTCGGATTCGATCGCGATAATAAAACCGGCAAAGGACTCGCTTGAGAACGTTGCCCCATGATTACCCGTGAAATCGATTATCCTAATCAAATCCCTGGCCGTGGTAATGGGGTTTCCATTATATTACAATGATCCGCGATGAGTATAAACGATCGGCCCGATGTCCGTGGCTCAGTGACATTCAACAATCGACAACATGAAAGCGAGTCAACCTCGTTGTCGGAAGAAACAAATAGCCGTATCGTCTTCGTTCCTACCTTCCTTTTCTTTCTCCCTTTCTTCTTTTCCTTCTTCTTTTTCTTTGTCGTCGTGACGTGTGACGCAACCCTGAAGACGAGTAGAGAATATCTTGTTCATTCTCACGGTTCACCGATTCACCGGACTTTCAAAATGATTACGGTAGTCATTAAGTTGCCTGTTGGCATTTGATGCGACGCGCAATTTATGGCTAATCCTTTGGGCAAACCGCGATGAGTATTATAATGACGTACTTTCACTCTCTCTCTCTCTCAGGAGTCTGCGACCGATACGAACCTCTCGTTGTCATTTTACTCGTCTATACTCGATCCTCCTGGATTATTGTCTTATTTCCGTTGATTGATATCGATCGTTCGACGATCAGCAAGGGGTACACGACTACGTTGTCGAGCAACGATCACGATTTTTTTAATGGAACTTGGTTTCTTCCCGACGATATCAGCTACACAATACCTGCGCGAGAACCGGAGAGATTTTTTTCTTTTTTTTTTTTTTTTCGATCCATTCGCACGACGTATACATATGTATGCGTATAACAAGCTTACAAGGGTTGCAGTTTCGATTTCAATTAGTGCCATTCTTTTCTCGATACCTGGGAGTCGTGTTAACGAAATTTTTCCTTTCTTTTTTCGTCGCCTAACACGTAAAAGGATTTACAAAATAAAATTTGCACATGTTTCGCGAGATTGTATTTAATGAAAGGACTCGAAGCATAAATCTTTATTTCGATAAAGATGTATCCCTCGCGTGATAATTTCTCGCATAATCTTGAAAAATTTGATGGATATAAATTTGATTTCTCGGGCTCGCGTAATAAGTCGATACTATTTCGAGTTTCCAGCAATCGGTCCCAAAGGCATCGCTGGCTGGAGAAGGGAAGCTTACGGACACCGGAGGGCCCGGGCGGATAGCGCGATGTTGAAACAATAGCCGGCAGATAGCGAAATAAAACTTGGCGTCTTAACGAGCGCGTACTCGCATACGTACCGCCTTCCTCTTTTGTAATGCTAATTCAAAGGAGGCAATTATTTCAGGAGTAACCGGTAACCTTCTAGTTTCTCGAACGACACCGACCGTTCGGTGGTATCGTCCTTAGTAACCGAGGAGAGGATACGCGCGAAAGTCACCCAGATTCCACGAACAAAATTATCACGAAGAATCAATGGAAATCCTCGTTTCGACTCGTTCATTTTTATTACTACGTATCTTAACACATCCTTTCACATATTTATTTTTTTCACATTCGCGTAAATCGCGTTTCTTCTTCGACAATTATGCATCGATATGTTTTGGATTTATATTTATATTGTAAATTTGAATGGATATTTTAGAAAGAGAAAAAACTCTTTCTCCACTTTTCGATTAATTAAAAGGAAGGCGGGTTAAATATAGATAGCATATCGATAATATTAGTATTATTATTATCGGATTTGTAATGGTGATTAAACAATGGGGAGCAACGGTTCCTTTCATTGAGTCACACGTTCCTTTCCGGTTATTTTGTTCACCTTTGCACGCTCGAAATCTAACGAGGCGATACGGGAGAGCATCGTGTTAAGGTAACAATCGAATGAACGAATCGAGTCGCCAGATATTATCGCAAACACAGGCTGCGTGTTGCGTGAAACAGATTACTTTTCTTAACGAAGTTGAATCGAGAAAGTCGAGAGATAGATGGTAAGCTGGTCAAAGAAACGAGAAACGATTCGATTGAACGAATAAATTTCGTGAAACAATTATACAAAGTCAATACAAGTAGAAAATTATGCGAAAAAGTAAAAAGTTGTAAAAAGTTGAATGAAAATATCAATGTATCATCTTTTTATTTTCACCTTATATTCCTTATTCGTATTAAATATTATACTCGTTTCATAAAGTTTTTACTCTGTATCTAATTTTATTAATTTTATAAAAAATGTTGCACGAGTAATTATCTTGATTAACTGATTATATACGATCATCTCGTAGAGGAAATTATTCAAAGAAACTTGCAAGAAACCGATATAAATCGTTAATTATAGATCGTTTTGCTTAACGATCGAGTTAAAATGATTTTTTCAAATTTCAAATTTGTTATTAAAATTGGAAGAATTTTGGAGAAGAATATTTTCTTCTGTTAGTAATGTCAAGAAAAAATAGATTTTTATCGAGTATTTTATCGCGATAGAAAATGTCTTTTGCGTTCATTGTTTAGACTATTTGTAAAATTGAAACAGGCAATGAGATCTTTCTCCTCTCTGTCATTCGTTCAGCTTCGTTGAGGCGAATAATGGCGAAGATAATTACATGAATCAGCCGTAACATTTTTCGAAGCATTTTGTTATAGTGTAAAAGAAGAAATTTTCCCTTCCATTTAGGATTCCGGAAGATAAAAGTAACCATTAACTTCGTTTCTTTCTTTATTTCTTCTTTGTGCCGATACAGTCGTTAAAATTTAAAAAAAGAAAATCTGCATTTCTTATGAAACAAATTGGAATTTTTTTCAAAGATGAAGCGATTACATCTCTTTGTCTTCTATTTATTATTAAAAGAATTTGATATCTTTCTCTTACCGACCTTATCAAGGAAAACGTCGTGTTTTTTTGAAGTTTCTTTCCCATGTGTGCGTACCACCTTACGTAAAGCATTGTATTCATTATGGGAGAGTTCTTGTAACCGGTTGTTTCTTTCGTGACTGAGTTTTGGTGTTATAATCCTTTCATACCAAGCTATTTGTTTTCGTGCCTTCTCTCATCCTCCTCTTTCATCCCGATAATACGAGAAGATATTTCGACCATCACTCGAGATTTTGCGAATGTAAATAAAAAAATATTTGCAGAAGATGTAAACGTAGAGGAAACAGAGATGAAGTAATCGACCGAAATTATCCACCTTTTGTCTTCGCTCCACTTTCACGAAATTAATGTTTCACACTACGTCAATCCTCATCTAATTCTGTGACAAATTTCCCACCAATTATAGTTCATTGACTTGTCTATCTTACATACATATATATATATACGAATCGAACAAGATTCTCAAAAATATCCAATCCATAATCCCCCTTTCGTTAATTAACTTTTATTCGAATCCATTATTTCGTTAAAAAATAATCTTCGAAGATCTTGGAAAATATTTGCGAAACGTTTGTATATAATAAATCAACGTTGATTATTGATTACGCTTTGCGAAAAGGAAGGGGGGAAGAAAAGAAAAAAATGAAAAATCTCGTTTCCTCGAGTCATCCTCGTACGTTTACGTGCGTTATGAGAGCGCGGGGGACGCGCAGCGTGTTTTCGGTTCAGGAAATGCCTGAACGCTCGAGATCGTTATAGAGCGGCATCTTATGAAACATCCTGTTCACGAATATACGCATATCCGACACGTACGAGGAGACTTTCGGTCGTACTTTTCAAGAGAAGCGGAGAGAAGCGGAAGCGGTACATCTCTTACCGTCGCAGCAACACCGGTTTATCGGTTGTCGGTGTTGACCCTCGAGCCACACGCTTGAATCCACCGCCCGCGTTTAAGATCCGAACCGAGGAGGAAAGGTCATTTCGGGCCAGTCACCGACGCCTTTGCCGGCGAGGAAGATCGGCGAGATATCTTAAGAACGAATCTGATTAGCCGGGTCCCCCCAAGAGATGTTAGAAAGCGGCGAGCGGCGACCACGGCAAACGATATTGAGCCACGTCGAGGAACGAGCTGCGAATCTTCCGTGGCGGATCGACACGATCTCCCCTCGGAACAGTGCGTTTTCGTCGCAATCCAATACGACCACGATTTAAGCAAGAATCGTGTCGTTGCAACCATCGGTCGGGCAACTATCAACCCGGAATTTTATTCGTGCTTGCCGTGTAATTTTCCACGAGATTGTCGCACGAAGAGAGAATGTCGAAATAATAAATGCGCCATGATTATCTATAGCCGGGGAAACGTTTCTTATTTCGTCGATAATAATAAATAGTTGAGAGGGAGAGAGGGAGAAGGAGAGAGAGAGAGAGAGAGAAATAGCTTTGGAAGAGATATCTCCAGGTCTCCATGGTTTTAGAGATTGCTCCTTCGGATGGATCGTTTATCGTTGCAATCGTCGCAGATTTCGTAGATTTATATTTTCGTAAGTTAATGATACGTCTACTAGATGAAAAGAAATAATATTGAGTTTAGTAATAGAAATTTTGATACAAACAAATCGAGTCTTCAAATAGATTTAAAATTAAGATTCAGATAGTTATAATGATATGGTCTTAAATTTTATGCAATTTTATGCACAGGAAAAGTAATGGTGATTCTTATTGGAAATGGAGACATATCGCTTTAATCTCTCAACCGTGATTCGAAAAGATACGGAAATACAATGGCCATATATAATTTTCCTCTGTTTAATATTTATAGATATATTATTATTATCCTTTTCTGGCCTTAATAAATTCATTCTGAGAGAAGAGGTTAATCAATCAAGTTTGAATAATTGCTGCGCGAATAATAGTAGTATATATATATATATATATATATACATATATATATCTAATTTCGAAATATAATATGATAATTTAACATCAAAGACAAGGTAGTGTTAATGCACTTGATTACTCGAGTGCGTTGCGCATCACCAGCAAAGACGGAAGCGCAACGAACGAGTGACTTATACGATTTATCGAGGAGACGTTGATCCGGAAGACGAGCCCACTTTCGCCAGTAGAACAGTAGTGTGTTAGTCTATCTACGACCTCGCAGGATAACCAACTCCGCTTCACACATGCGATTGCGACTCTTTTCACGACTTCTCTTCTTTCGGAAGACACAGAGAAGAAACAGCGAATTGTTCTCTCGCGTGACGTACGAACAGCCCTCCTCTGGTGGAGGAAGGGTTGTAGAGGAACTATGGCATAAGTGAAATTACGAGCACACGTGCTATACACACCTGATATATAGTACACGGCCAGCAGACACTTTCTGTTGATTCTATCGCGCTTTTGCTTCGCGCGATTATCCATTAACGGACGTAATCATAAAATAATGAGGATGATTTTCTAGGATACTTATGAAATATTATATCCAGTGAAAAAAAAAAAGAAACTGTTGTCGTTCGGGCGGGAGATTGGAGAGGAAACGAAAGAGATTCTCATTCTTCGCTATTTACGTCGATTCCTTCCTTCTTTTCGATCTTAATTAATTATCAGACGACTTTTTTCGATTGCTCTATCCTAAAGAGATAGAATTATTCGTTATATCCTAAGAAATGTAATTTATCACATGTTTAAGATGAAATATGGATAAACAAGATGAAAACAAGTTTCCGTATCGATTAAAAATTTTTATTTTATGCATGAAATTTATTTCACATAACAAGATACATTGTTTTCCCAACGAACCTGCTACTTTCTACGTAATACACGTAACAATTCAATTAATTTCTCAGGAACGTAAAACGTTACGTCTTCGAATGCTAATTCATCTCTATCTACGTTGAGCATAGTAATGCATCTTACGTTATTAATCTGTAATCACGGCTTTCTCCGCGAAGCGGCTAATATATAATATAACAAGGGAAGAGAAAAAGAAAAAAGAGATAGATTTAATTTTACGCGTGGAAACCGGAACTCGGAAGCGTGTATTTCGTGAATTTATAGGTTGTGACGTGCGTGACGTTAGAGAGATAGAGTCTGTGCAAGTGTGCTCCATCGTGAGATACAACGCAATGTCGACCATGGGAATCTTTTTTCTTTATGTTTAATTAATCACAGTCATAATTATATTGTTCGACGGAGTCATATTGTTTTAGTATTTATAAGCCGATGTTTACGTCATGCTAGTAGTGTCACGAAAAATGGGTCAGTACTGAAAAAAAGAAACGTTAAATTTTTAAATTTCATATCGATGGAATAAATATTTATCAAATATTGTCGCGTCATTCATTTTTACTTGGGAAAAATATAAACTTACCTGTCGCAAAAAAGAAAAAAAATAAGGATCAAAATAATTGAAATCATTGTAAAAATAAGAAAAAATATTCGGACGGATTATTTTAATATACTGCACAACTCTGACAAATTGTGCCCAATTTAATAAACTAACTCTGAACTTTGGAAATTTTCGTGCAAATAATTTTGTTATAATTAATTAAGACTGTAACAGACGCGTATCGATATTGCCCTAATTATGGATCGAAAGCATACCTTCCTCATTTTTCGCCAGGTACTGATAAACTTCCTATCGGTCTTTCTTCACAGAACAACAAAGTTTTCATTCCTACGCTCTACCGTAGGAGAATATCAATGAAAGCGGGAAACAAAGGGGAAGTCTCGGCGAATCGGATTAACGACAATAGAGGAATAGAGGACAGGCGAGGGGGATGATTTAAAACTTTTTTTAATCCGTTAATCTTTTTTTTATACTATCAATATCGTATATTTTTTTTTTTTTTTATAATTTAGCGGTACATTTTTTTTTTTTAATTACGCATTCAACGTTCTTCAATATCAATGAATTTCGTTCGAATTCCAAAAAATAAGAGTTTTTGTGCGTTTCACAATCGAGGAACATACCGCACTATTTTTTTTTTTTTTACCGCTATGTATTTTCTTTTTTTTTTTTTTCAAATTTTACCTTCCTTACAATATACATAACATCTGCAATGATATATATACATTGTATTGTATACATATAATATTCGTTATTGCTCTCGCGAAACTAAGGTTGGACCGAGTTTGGATCTACGAATGGCTCGATTAAAGGATACGATCGAAGAAAGTATGTAGAAACGATTGTAGATGTAAAACGTTCTACGAGACGATAAAATCGGTCACAAATACGACGAATAAGAATAAAAATGAAATTGATAATAGATAAACGCTAAAATTCAATAAAACGATCTTGATATCGTCTATACAAATACATCTGCTGTACATACATAAATTATAGAACAATCTATTCATATATCAGGTATGGTCACAGTATGGTAATAGTTTGCTACGATTGTACTTATCACTTGTTATCACCGTCTAAATTATATATCACTTCGTACTTTCTAAATTCAGAAGCGTAAAAACGTAAACAACACCGTAAAACATTAACGAGCTATCTTATCCTATACTATAATATATACTTAAGAAAAAAAAAAAAAAAAACATAAAAAAAAGAAAAAAAGAAAGGGGATGATAAAACAGGAAAAAGTATCGTACAATTTCATTCATCAACATCGCACGTTTCTTATTATTTATTCGAAAATTGTGAAAGCACAATCTTCCACGCTTTATCATTACACGCGACGTAATATGACAACAAACGGAATCAACGCCGAATGGATTTATCATCAATCAAGATTATACATAAGTACGTACGTGCGTAACATCCAATATATTTCCCTCTTCCGTGTCACTCTCCTTCGATCACTTTGTTAGTATTCCTACCAATGGAAACGGTTCAAGGATACGACAAACGGCACTCATCACCCGTGACGGGACGAAACGAACGTAATACTTTCGCCCTCCTTGGAATCGTATCACTGAACGGTGCGTGAAAACGAGAGGGAAGGAGAGAAAAAAAAAAAAAAAAAGAAACGAGCAACAGTCGCGCGTGCAACAATGGTAACACCGGTATATAAACGAGATAAACGGATGCGCATCGGACAAGTTTGGATGGCGCGCGGATCGGGACAGCAAGTTGAAGGGTCACGTCGCGAGCGGAACGTAGGACGATACTGAGGAGCCGTCTGCTAGGCATGCAAACCTCATACCGCGCAAGGATCCTCGCGAATCCTCGCTTCTTTGTCCATCGACTGTCGCAGCTCGCTGTCTCTATTCCACTCTTCCCCATTCACGTTTCCAACTGTTATCCCATCTCGCTTACGCTCGCCCCGCTCACTTCCTCGCTTTCTCGCTTCCTCGCTTCCTCGTTAGAGTTTGCGATCCTCCCTCCGGTGTTAACCCCGCCGCCTCTCTTCGTCTCATAACCCCCATTGCATCGTGCCTCTGTATCTGTACTTGTATGCGTGTATTAGGTGTATCGGAAGAGCGCACGCGCTATACGCGCTGCTTACCTTTTACCATCCTCACCAGGAGAACCACCTTAACCACCCGCTCTCACCTTCTTCTCCCTACCATCCCCCTCCGCTTCCTCTTTCTGTCTCCTTCTGTTCGTTTTTTTCCTGTAACCCTCGCGCGCTCCTTGGTCATCCTCTTCCTATCTGTGATCTCCGATCCTATCTTTAATGCTTTCTCTTTTCTGAGATACGTTTTTTTCTACCTGAATGGAGTTCAAGCGTGTGTGTGTGTGTAAATATGTATGCAACTTGTAAGTGTGTTTCAATGTTGATCAAACGACGTGTATATGATTGTGTAGTCCGTCAGTTGTCGCCCTATGTTTTTTTCCCCCTTTTTCAATTCACTCTCTTCTTTTCTACTTTTCTTTTTCTTTTTTCTTTTTCCTCTTCTCTCGCTTTTTCCCTCTTCTATTACGACTCGCAACTCGCGTTCTCTATGCTCTAAAACGCTCTAAAAAGCATCTTGACCTCCTGAAAAAACTATCATTTTCGTTCCTTTTTAATTACCCTCCGGCGCGTCTTTCTCGCGATTTCTCCGTGTGACATTTAATCATCATCGTTCCGCGAATTTCCAAGTTTTGTATATTTGTCCTCTTACAAACTAAGAAAGTTTTCTTCTTTTTTTTCTCTTTTTGTACACTATACACATATCGCTGAGCCTGTGTCGAGATCACATAGAAGTTTGGAATCGATTGAAAACTGAAGAATAACCGCGATAACAAGTTGATTCCATCTCTCGTTGAATAGGTTTTCCTCGAAAGAAAGTTGATAGGATTATGTTATATACCAATGATATCGAAAGAAGAAAGAGACAAATTTCTAAAAGAACAAACGATAAAGATAACACGTATTTTTTCTCACATCCTTCCAAGCAAATAATAAGAACTCGAGCGAGCGAACTCGAAAAAAGATTCCTTTCGCTTCTTTAATATTCATTTTGTTCGACGGACTTTTTCCTATTTTTATACAAATCTTTCATCTTGAATAAATCGTTCTAAGATATTCCCAAAGTATGAAGAAACTAGGGAGATTGCGCGTATTACTTGCGAAACGCAGTATAATATTTATGGATTTGGCTGGAATATTCTCAAAAAAAAAAAAAAAGAAAAGATAAAAATTAAATTGTCTGACTGACACCAGACAAATATCTTTTAAAAAACTCGTATAAAAACAACTCATATGCGCGCGCGCTCTTTGAATATTTTCACACGTTTTATAAAATCACGGTCACATGTAAAATATATATATATATATATATATATATATGTTAAATGAAAATGAAATATATCTTTAAACAACTTTGATATCCCGTCTTTTCTTTATCTGCGCGCGCGTGTATGTATACGTGTGTGATTAAGTGAATGAGTATAAATAAAAGATTGTATGTGTGTAGCTGTGTGTATGTACATACTTATTTCATACATTTATGAGAACATAATTCCATCCATTTTATAATTTATACAAGAGAAACTGTGTACAAACGAATAATTTTATTCATGTCCTTGTTATAAACTCTGCATTGTGGGAACGAAATTTGTACAGAGGATTTCGTAAGATGTACCGTACACGTCGGGTAAAGAATTTTCAAAGCCGAAAATTATTCTTAATATTTTTCTACGATCACTTAGGAAAATTTCTCAAACGATCGTACATGTAAGTACTTGGCATGTTTGCACGTTTAATAAATAGGGAGATGAGTCTCTTATTAAGTAATATTAAGAACATTTTTACCTTACTTTTGATTAAAAAATTATTACTCGTTCTGACCTGACACAACGGCATCTTACGAAACACTGTAGATCGATAAAAATCATTGATTATTACTATTATTCAACATGATTGCACGACTAGCCTGTATCATTGAAAAATTTTTTCTCAAATTAATGATTATGTTTATAGAAATAATATAGAAAATAAATTGGCTTTTATGTTATCTTTGATTTCTGATTATTAATAGTCATGATATCTGTAAAAGACTTCCAAATGGATATGATGATCGCGTAAATTTTGAATAATATTATTTTGCTTATAGATATTGTTAAAAGAACAACGATTAGATGATTCTCATTTGTAATTCTTCGAATGAGTTGTTTCGATAAACAAAATCGACGAGTTTTTACGATGCAAAATATTAAGTTGTTCCTTTCGCTACTTGTTCAAAATCATTTTTTATCACCGACATAATGTCGGTATATTAGCGATGCAATTACGTCAGGCAAGGCAGTGATTATAGCGTATATACCGTTGGGTCATTTCGCGTTAAATCGATCAATTGTTTAAATAAAATCAAATGTTTGAATCAAAATCTATCAACGAATTATGAAAAATAGAATAAACTTTATAAAGAAAGCTCATTAAAATATTTTTATTTGTATAGTATATTAAAAATGTTTATTTTCGATATATGATTATAAAAAAAATCGTCAAAATCAATCAATCAATCAATCAAATTACAGAGGACAAAGGAAAAAAAGCATAGATAATAATTTTGCAATTGGACGATCGAACGTTAAATGACCCTTCCATATCTTTCCCTACCTAAAAGTATTTGTTTTATTAACATATTACATGGTCTAAAGTTCCCTGTTGCATAAACATTTATTATTCACGTCCACTGTTAACAGTATCGTTCCTTCTTACGAATAGCACGTTACAACGATACTAATTTTATCTAATGACTTTTAATGTTAATTCGGAAAGATCGCGGATAATAAACTACAGAATCTACAGAATCTAGCTTAAATAGTTCAAATAATTCCGTTTCGATTCATTTCGACTATAGTACAATGTTACAAGCAAGATTCGTGATTTGATGGTGATGTATCGCTATGGATCCATAGATTCATTCGACGAGAATTAATAATAATAGGTAATGATACGCGACGAATAATCAATCGATGAACAAGTAGTTCGAGCATATACGTTTCTTTCGTTGATTCAGAAACGTTGTTTTAATGGGTTATCCCGCGTTGCGTAGTTCCAAAACACGATACCCCAAGTTTTATCCGTGTTAACACGGCTTTCAGACTTTCTTAAACGTTACTAATGCTTACTCTTTTTTGTACCCGCCGTTAAATCAACGTGGTTTTGTCTGAAATCATATTCACGAGTTCTGAATTGTACTCACTTGTAAGAGAGATCAAATAGAAGAACAACATCGATTCATCGAGTATTCAAAGAAGTTAATCGAACACCATCTTTAAAAAAGTATTCTTGTTACTATATTTTTCGTAATTTTTAAATTAAAAACAAATTAACTTACGTAAAAGTTATTTAACGTTACATAAAAAAATAAAAAATTATTTTATAGAATTATTAAAATTATTTTTTTTATCTTTTAAGTAAATATCCTTTAATTTTATTTTATATAATTTATTCTCTTTTACGTAATATTTAAGAATGTAAAATCTTAAGAATACAAAATGATATTCCAATAAAATCTTACAAAATTCTGAATTAATATCTTCAAAATAATATAAAAATATAGTTGAAATAAATGAAAAATAAAAAATAAATGAAAAAAAACTAAAAAATTAATCTTTTAATCTTTAATATCTATAGTAAATCATAAAAACATTCAATTTTAATTATCTATAAAATTGCTCTTTCTAAGTAAAAATACACATAACAAAACATTCATTTATAAATTCTAATAATTTATGCATATAACTTTTTTGAAAACTCGATAAAAATTCATTGACAAAAAGAAGAGAATTCAACAAGGAAAAAGAATACAGAAACACTTAAAATATTTTGGCACTTGTAATAAAGTTGAATTATCCTTTCGCATTAATAAAATGAATAAGGCAGAGGAGCTTTATTACTAACCTCTTCATCGGAGGATTGAGTAAAAGCTCCTATTGCCTGTTGGACTTGCGGAGCAGGAGATCCACTAGTAGGATGCGCCGCAGCTTGTTTACCAAGTTTTACGGCGTCCTGTGTTGCCTGCGATTCAGTCCTTCTAATATAAGCAGCCTCCTTTTTAGGTGGTACTACCGGTTTATTCGGTGGCACTGGAGGAGGAACACCGCGAGATACTGGTGGCTTTTTCGAGGGCAGCATACCAGATGTTTGAATCGTCGAACCAGAGCCGACATGAAAACCAAGCTTTCCTGCAGTTTGTGTCGATGGTATAAGTTTTACCGTGCCTCCAGCATTTACAGGAGCAGGTACAACCCCACGTTTGTCTACAGCCTGAGGAATGAATACATAGGAGAACCGATTTAACGTTCGAGCTATCCGTAAAAATCCTTCATTAGAAGAATACGTATAGACGATCGTTGCGTTTAAGATAAAATGAAGAAAAAGGAAAAAAGGGAACAAAATTATACCAAATCACCAGTATAAAGCGAAGGAATAAATAAAATGCCAGAAAAGTAATAGATATTCTAAAGAGATCGATCTAAATAATTTAACAATATTTTTCAATGTTTTAACTATAATTAAAATCATTATAATTATTATAAATTAATATATTTCGACGATAAAATGTAATAAAAGAGATTATTGAAAAAAATTATGATTTTTATTTGAACAAGAAATAAAAATCATAAGAAATAATAATTAATAAAAATTAAAATGAGCAATAATTGAAAGAATTATAAATTTCTACTATGGAAACTATATGGATGCTGTCCTCTTTTGTTAAAATACATTGCACAACTTGAAAAAAAATAACAGGTGAACAACCAAACCATATAAAGTTAGCAATAGCAAATATAGGGTTGCAATTAGGAGGGCAAGCAGGGAAAATTTGTAAATAAGGCTCAAAAGTGAATTGCATACAAGTTTTAATTAAGGAAATAATCAATGTACATACTAAATAGTAATCTTATGTACAAAATAAGAATAGATAATACAAATCAGACTTAAAATTTGATAGTGTATTAACTTATATAAAATAATACAATGTGATATAATCAATGTGAATTAACGTTTACAAATATATATGTATATAATATGTATGTGTAATTAAAAATAAAAAGATGAATTTTTTGTTATCTACATGATATTTAATTGTAATAATATAACATAACATGACATGAATTTTCATAATAGCTAAACAAATTTTAATGGTAAAATAGTAACAAAATTTCACTATAAGATACATGCAACGCATCTACAAGATGTGTGCATGCAATATTAATATACATGTATATTTTCTTATAACTTACTGTTCATTTTCAATTTCTTACTTTAATATTTTATGTATTTTACATTTTTTATATATTATATATTTTTGTATAAAAACAGAAATTATGTAATATTTATTGTTATTGTTATTCTAAATACATATATATATATATATATATATATATAGATTTCTTTTTCTAATTTAGTAATTCTACTGATTGTGTTTTATTATTAATTTATAATACGAATAATACCCGAATAATAATACGTGTTAGAAGAAGAAATAAACCAATTTTACCCCCAAAGCAGTTTCTGTTTGATTCATTAGAAATAATACAAAAAGTCAAAAAATGCTTAAAAATTGTGCTTTCTAAAACAGCATGATGACATATTTATATTTATCATTATCATGCAATAATCATACAATAATATTGTTTTATAACATTTAATAAAATATAAGACTAGAAAATTTGTGTATAATTATAATATAAAATAATGTGCATATAAAGTAATGGTAAAAAATATTTTTAATTTAATAAATTAATTTAATTATATATATTTTTATCATTTTTAAAGACATTTTTATCAATAATAATAATATTTAAGAATTTAAAATTCTTCTACTTATATGATTATTTTTATAAGTATCTTTAATTTATAATATATTCATAAGTCTTTTTTAATAAAATTAAAATCTTATTATTATTATATAAAATTATAATTTTTATACTTCATTAATTTATTAACAAAATCAAATATATTTATTAATTACAAATACTATTTTAAATATTAATATATTCAGCATAAAAATATAATGATTGATAATTTATTTTTATCAATTTAATTTTTAACGTTAATACAATTTTTTGAGAATATATATTATTTAAAATATATAAGCAATAATAAATTCTATTTAAATTTTTTTCAATTTAAATATATTACTATGCTTTTTATTTATTTTATGAAATGGATGTACAAAAAATAATATAAATCAACATAAATGATTAAAACATAATAAAACATAAAAAGTTTTATTATTATAAAAGCTCTATATTACGGAAAAAACTTTTTATAAATATATATATGTATATATATATTTATAATATTATATTATATCTTCAAATTAAGGTAGAATGTGAAGAAAAATGAGGATAATTTACCTGATTTTCAGAAGATATCGTAGTTTCACCAGTAGAAGACGTAATATTGGACGTATACGTGACCCCGCGTAATGCCTGTCCAGGAGTTACTGATCTAGCTATCCCAGTAGCTACAAAGAAATTATTTTAAATATTATACAATTGTTATTTTAAAATATCTATACTCAAAATGTTGCACAATTTATTCCATATTAAAATAGATAATATCATACAAATATACAAATATATAAATGAAATAATTAAACATATAATTTATATAGAATTATTATCAATTTAATATAAAATTTATAGTTTTATAGAGATAATTTTTTAGAGAAATGTTTTAGATATAAATTATTTATTGGATTAATTCCGCATCAGTATGAACCTGTGCTAAATTATAAATTAATATACTAACATCAGATAAATAGAAATAACAAATTCATATCGATATCAAATGCATTACGATACACGTATGAGCAAGAGCTACAATTACCATTTCTTTTTCAATTAACTGTCAAAATGTAATTTGTTAATTCATCCACTGTCATGCGACACGAATATTCTCTTAGAGAAGATATATCCAAAATATTTTAATCGTTTATATCCTATTTCAACTTTAGGGTAAGACGTGCTGTTCTTACTTGGACCGCTGACAGGAACACTAGATACCGTGGCAGTGGGCTGAACAACTTTACTACTAACCATTGGCGTCCCAGTGCCCAGCACTGTACCTTTAACTGCATTTAAAATATATAAATATTCAATTTTTTTTTCAATTTATATTATATGAATATACTTAATATCATTAAAACTATTGCTTATTTATTACTGACGCTTATTAAAATGAATTATATTTATATATATAATTATATAACGATTATTATGCATAACATACTTGTCTGTGTTACATTAGCAGGTTTAACAGTAGGCATAGCAACTAAATTAGCTGGTTTGGCTGGAGGAGGTGGTGGAGTTGTACCCACTCCTCTTGGAGAACCTCGTGTTTGAGACTCTTTCCACATATCCATTTCACTTCTAAGTTTATCTAATTCTAATTCGAGATCTTTAGCTCTTTTTTCTTCCTTTGCTAAAGCTTGCTTATATTGTTGTCTTTCCATATCAAATTGTGCAAGTTGTTTCTCTAATTCTGCTTCCATTTGCAATGATTTTTTACTTTCCTCTTCAAGCCCTTCAGCCATAGAATCTACTCGAACTTTTTCTTCACTTAATATCTGTGCCAAATCTTCGGATCTTTTCCTTTCTTCTATATACTTCATAATTATCTTTTTACGTTCAGCAAGTAAAAGAAGTACTATTTGTTTCTGTCGAGTTTTTTCTTCTTCTAAAGTCTCATTTGCTTTTTTTAATTCTAATTCCAGTCTTTTTTTTTCTTGTTTTTCTAATTCTAATTCTTTTTTCAATCGTGTTCTTTCCTTCTCCAATCCATATGTAATATCATCACCTTGGGCAGTATCATGTTCATGTTTTCGTTTTTCTTCTTCTAATTCTTTAATAACCTAAGATAAATTGAATATAAATATATAATATAGAAAATAAATATATTGATTATTTATTAATTAAATAACTAAATATAATGTACATACTGCTCTATGCCTAAGTTCTGCTTCTTTAAGAACTTTGGCCATTTTAAACTGCATACATCTTTGTTGTGTTACAAGTGCTTCTAAAGTAGCAACTTGTTTATTTATTTGATTTGGTTCATGTTCATTCATACCACCTACTAGAACGACATCACGAGCAAGTGCAGCATGTGGATCTGATGTTCCACTCAGATATCGAGTACTTAACAGATGTTTCAATTTTTCGGACTATAAAATACACAAAAGTTTATTTTAATTCAGTATATATTTAAAAAAATATATTATATTATTTTTTCATATTATTATTTAATCATAAAAAACTTTCAATTAATTAACAAAGAATAAATTACCTTTAATACTGCTATTACAATATCTCTTGCTTGTAATTCTCCTTCAAGATGCCCTAACAGTTTTAATAAATCAGTTTTGTTTAATTCCATTTTTGGATTACGCTAAAATTTAAAAAATAGTTATCAATAAATATATAATTCAACACATATTAATATAAATAAATAAATAAAATTAAAAATTAAAAAATGTTTAGATAAATTTTTTCTCAAATTCAAAATTTCTAAACATACTTTTAATGTATTGGAGGAATTTTTATCAATTGCTTCTATATTATTAGATTGTAGAGTCTGATGCTGTTGTATTAGTGACGGTGACGGCGACGGCGATGGTGACGACGATGGAGATGAATGTTGTTGATAGGATTGTGAAGATTGTGTAGAAGTAAGAGATTGCATCTTCGTAGTACAGACCGAGATGGTCGTCGACGATCCGGATGATCCATTCATCGGTGAAATAGTTGAACTTATATTCATAGCATTTTGACTCTGTGATGCCATTTTTGAAAGAAATGAAATATCGAGAAGAATTTCCTTCTAAAAAGACTTATAATTTCAAGAAAAAGTATTAAAAAGTACTCGACGAAAATATTCCGCGGTTAAACCGTTTCAACCTTCGGTATTAATACTTTCATTTGAACAAAGAAGGCTTCGGCCCAAAGAGCCAATTTTGAGACACGCCACATCGTTTTCAGATTTTTCTTTTCCTTTTCAAATTTATTTAAATTATGCCGAACGAATTAATCCGGCATTTAACTTTATCCTCAATTATTGACAAATCAAGCACAAAGCGTAGTTCACACATAGGAACCTATCTCATGAAAAGTGCTACGAGATCATTCATTATCGATTATTTCTTATCGAGTATTAAGACTCAGAATTCGATACGATTTTAACTATGGTAGCGGTAAAATTAAAATTTTTAAATGTAAATATTGTTATAATACACACACAAGCACGCGCACACACACGCACTACACATACACACACACATACACACACACAATTTAAATTTCAATATTAAAATTTTTAATTATATTAAAATTAATTTAAAATGATACAATAATTCATTATCAAAAAAATATCATTATTAGGAACATAATTCTTATTATGTTCTTATTATATATTATATATAATTATATACATAATATTTATAATATATTAATATATAATTTTACATATATATATATATATATATATATATATATATATATAATTCTNATAATAAAAATCATATTTATATAAATAATTAAATTTCTTTAATTAATGAATTTCATTATTTATTAATCTAATGATTTGATTAGATCAATTCCAATTTGAAAACATTAAATTTTATGAAAAATAAAAATTTTTTCATTTGAATTTTATTGATTATTAATATTTAAATTTAAAATATTCTTAATAAAAAAAAAAAATAAAATATAAATTTATATTATTTATTTCTTCTAGTGAAGTAATAACATTATAAAATTCTATTGATAAAAATATATTTTTATACATTTTAAATTATAATTATTAAAATATAATTTAATAGTATTTTTATATTATTTTCAAAAAAATAAAAGCTTTATTATTACTAATATATCTATATAATAAAAGCTTTATTATAACTGTTGTATGTTTATCTATTTCCCGTCTAATTCAATTAGAGTAGATAATTTTCGACAAATTCCAAATCTTATCAATTTTATCAATACATCTAAATATCAATAAAAATTTCGACAATTGCTGTATCATACTTAAAATTATCATTAATTATTTTTTTCTCAACATGTCAATATCAAAAATTAATAGTTTAAATTCTTCAGTTGATTTTCAAAATTATAATAACAATTATGCTGAAACTGAAAATGAAGATACGTTACAAAATTCGTAAGTGAATTTTATTAATAATAATTATTTAATTTATATAGTTTATTTATATATTTTTATATAACTTTTAAAAATATTTATCCATAAATTTTAAATAATTTAATATTATAATTACTTGTAAGTCAAATATATAATAGATATAATATAATAATTATATAATTACAAATTCATTATAAATTTAATTAACTTATAAAAAATATATAATTTATTGATAACTATTTTATTTATTTAATTTCAGATTTCTATCTTGGGATGCATTTAAATATTTTCCATTAAAAAAAAAAAATGCATCCATGCAAAATAAAAAATGGTTAAATGTTTCTATACAAATTATTAAAATATTTATATATGGTATTCTTTACTGTACTATTTTTTGTAGTGGTTTAATTATTAAATTTATGTTCATTTTTGCTATATCACAACTTAAAGATGAAAAATCTATACAGTTTTGTGATTATTATTCAAGTAAGTGTATCAATATTTTTTATTTTTATTATTTTAAAATATATTTACAATTTCTTATATTATATTTATTTATATAATTGTTTTTTAAAACTATAATTGTATAAGTTTTGTTAAAATTATAATAATAATTATAATTTAAAATATTATTTAATTTATAATATTAATTGATTGATTATATCTTAATACAATTTTTTTTAATACATAAATATATATATATATTTTTTTAATAATAATGTTTAATATCATATTGTAGAATATGATCAAAAATTAGAAGCAAGAATTTCCAAGAGAGGGAAAGTAATTTGGACTTGGCATATTATTTTTATGTTTCTTATACCAGAATTTTTTACTATATTTCATGCAATATGGAATTTTTTTTTTAAAAAGAAAGTAAAATTACCTAAGAAACAAAATATTTTAATTCTTTTTTTTTTGGAAACACTTCATTCAATTGGTATAGCATTATTAATTTTTTATAGTCTTCCAAAACTTAATTCTATAGATGTTGCTGCAATTTCTAGTTGTATTTGTTTTATTCCTACTTTTTTAAGTAAGTATTCTTTTACAAAATTTAATTTAGGAAAGATATTTAATGAATTTATATATATTACAGATTTATTTACTCAGCATCACAAATATTCAAGTGAAATTACTATATTCATATTAGTTCTAATACTCAATGTTTTAGCACTAATTGCTCAAGGTTTAGGAATTATTTTATATTCTATTTTAAATGATGCACAAGATTCTCTAACATGGATTCTTCCTATTTCACTCTTATTATCTTCTTGTCGTTGGTGGTATAATTATATATCTCTTTATAATTATTTAGGTAATATTTTTAATTTTAAAATATGTATTATAATATTACCTTTAATTTTTCTGAAAATAATTTATGTAATTTTTTATATAGATTTTATAAAATCATTAGCAAGACATAAAACAGATTTATCAAATAATTGTTATGTATTACAAGGATATGTAGCAATTTGGAGATGTTTGATTTTTATTTCAAGTAGTATAGTAATTTTAAGTTTTAAAGAAATTCAAATATTAGAATTCTTTGAATATATGTGGCAGAATACATATAACATAGAATTAATTCAAATACCAAATTCTTCTCTTAGAGAAAATGTATCATTATCGAATTTATATCTTAATGATATTGTAGATATTATTGCAGATTCTTCTGCACCTTTATATAGCTTTTTAATACAAGCATTTTGTGGTTTTTTTATATATCAAACAGGTGAGATATATGAGTTTTATTATAAATAATATTATAATACACTATAAAAATTATAAATTTTTATTTTATTTTATAAGTTTAAAAAGTATTTAATATTTTTGCAGCAAAATTTGCATATCAAACAAAAATGCATAAGTTTGGTTTTGCTTTTCCAATGAGTTTAGTTACTCCAGGAACAATTTTTTTAATAATAATATTTTGTGTTTTAAGAAGAGAAGATGCATGTGCTTTTCATAATATAATACCAGATTATTTATTTTTAAATATACCTATATATAATAATATAAGAGAATTTCTTATAAATTGGCGTGTTTGGTGTTGGTTAACATGGTGGTTATCACAGATTTGGATTACAAAGCAACTTTGGTTTGGTGAAAATGAAAAACTCGCTCCTGTAGAAAAAATTTTCTACCAATCTAGTTATGATTCATTTTTGATTGATCAATTTTTGGGATTAAATAAGAGAAGACATGAAAAAAATCATATTACAGAAGAAGAAGAATTTTCAAATATTACAGAATTTAAGGTTTTATCTTATTTAGAAATTTCATAAAATGATATAAATCTTAATTCTTAATTCTTAATTTTAAGTTAAAATTTTTATTCAGATTATTTATTTTCAGATTAGTAGTTCAAAAGAAATGCAAAATTTGAATAATTCTTATTCAACAATTTCTAAGAATGATTTAAGCACCAAAAGAATTACTAATGTTACTCAAATCTATGTTTGTGCAACTATGTGGCATGAAGATAAAGAAGAAATGAACAAATTAATTGGAAGTATCCTAAGATTAGATAAAGACCAGTGTGCTATGAAAGTCACACAAAAATATTATAAAATTTTTATCAATGATTATTATGAACTTGAAAGTAATTAGTATATGCATTATTAATATATAAATTATCTTGAATAAAATTTTTAAAATATTAAATAAAAATAATACTTATAAATTGTTTCAGCACATATAATATTTGATGATGCATTTTGTTGTATGCATGGTTGTATTGGATTTTGTAATCATAATGAAAATGAAACACAAATAAATGAATATGTAGCAACATTTATAGAAACAATACAAGAAAATATAAAGGATCTTGGCATATTTTATTTACCACCTACTAAATATCCAACACCTTACGGTGGTCAACTTATTTGGAATTTACCTGGAAAGACATATCTAATAGTACATCTTAAAGATAAAAATAAAATTAGACACAGAAAACGATGGAGTCAGGTATATTTAATAACATTAGTTACTATTAAGAAATATAAAATAAAATTATATTTTCTTAAATCTAACTTTTTGTATTATATATAACTTATATTTTTATTTTATTTTAATTAATATATATTAATTTATATTTTTATTAATTTATTAATTAATTTATATAATCAATTAATATAATAATATAATAAATATATATTTCAGGTCATGTATATGTATTATTTTCTTGGATATCGTTTAATGAATACATCAATAGATATTGATACTAAAGAATTAATGGCACAAAATACTTATATTTTAACTTTAGATGGAGATGTTGATTTTCATCCAACTGCTGTTAAATCATTGTTAGATTTGATGAAAAAAGATAAAGAATTAGGTGCAGCTTGTGGAAGAATACATCCAATAGGAAAAGGTATTTCTATATAAATATAATATATAAAAATGAAAATATTTTTGTTTCTTTTAAATTTATATTGTAATTTATTAAAAATTAATCTTTTTTCATATAGTTTTAATATATTTAAAAATATATTTTCATATATAGGTCCCATGATTTGGTTTCAAAAATTTGAATATGCTATGGGACATTGGCTTCAAAAATCAACAGAACATACAATAGGCTCTGTTCTCTGCAGTCCTGGCTGTTTTTCACTTTTTAGAATAAAAGCTTTAATGCAACATAATGTCATAGCTAAATATGCAATAAAATCAACTGAACCCAGACATTATATTCAATATGATCAAGGAGAAGATAGATGGCTTTGTACATTAATTTTACAAGCTGGTTGTAAAGTAAAAAAAATTTATAATATAATAGAAATATTTAAAAAATATATATAAATAATTTATTTCATTTAATTAGGTAGAATATTGTGCAGCAAGTGATGCTTATACACATGCTCCAGAATCATTTAAAGAATTTTATATTCAACGTCGGCGATGGATTCCTTCAACTATAGCTAATATTTTTGATTTATTAAATAATTCAAAAGAGACCAGAAAATTAAATGATAATATTTCTTGCTTTTATATAATTTATCAATGGATGTTAACAGGTAATTTGATTTTAACATTAAACTATTTCTAGTATTTATTATTTATTATTTATTTAT